CCAGGAAAGAGGGCTCCCTCAAAACAAGCCTGAAGTGCTGGCTTTGATGCTATCTTCCTCAAAGCAACCATGCCAACATACTCAAAAATAAGAATATAGGACTGGCATCCTCCTTCCATCATGCATCACCTCTTATGTTCTCATCTATGAGGTCAGTCATCAATGAGCCGCATATGGACACAGGACCCATTCAAAAGATGAGCTTCAGAAACAGAGCCATGGCCTTTTAGAATATACACAGGCATAACAGGGTTCAGCCTGAATCCAGACATCAGGAGATCTATACCATATGCATGTATTCCTACCGAAAGCCCCAAAGGTTTTCAAAGATTAAATGATCTCTTGCATATGTGGCATTATTTTGCTAGTTCCAAACAGAATTTAATCTCTGTTCTCCAAATAGGTCATTATTTAAGAAAGAATATAGCAGAAAAATTTTCCTCTACAGGGATGGAGAAATGCACAGCAATCGAAATCAGGATAAATTACACTGCCTAAAACTGGAGAAAAACAAGGCTCTTTGGCGAACCTCAATGTGACTTTATTCTTTCCTTCATTTCCATTAAATTTCACACTAAGCATTCTTTTGTGACATCAGCCCACTTCTAAAAATACTTCTAATCCCAAATAAATAGAATCACTGTGAAATAGAAATTGAGAGCTTTCACCAAGCATTGGTGGTGCATGCCTTTAACCCCAGCATTCAGGAGACACAGGCAGGTGGATCTCTGTGAGTTCATGACCAGCCTGATCTACAAGAGATAGTTCCAGGACAGCCTCCAAAACCAGAGAAACCTTGCCTAGAAAAAACAAAAACAAACAAACAAAAAAACAAACAGAGCTTTCAGGTAATATTGTTAGTATTCAGGCATCTGCATTGCCTGTCCTTGGGGTTCTGACAGGATACGCCCTCAGCTGCAGCCACTAAGAGCACCACCTGCACACATTCACTGTGTTCCCTTTTTAAAGGGCCCTGCCCACCTCCTATTTTTCTCTTCTCTCTCTCTCTCTCTCTCTGTGTGTGTGTGTGTGTGTCTCTCTCCCTCTCTCCCTCTCTCTCTCCCTCTCTCCCTCCCTCCTTTTCTCCCTCCCTCCCTTTTTTCTTTCTCCTGCTGCTCCTGTCTCCGGAGGCCAGTCTCTCCCCTCCCCTTTCCCCTTTTATGATCCCTTTCCCCTAATAAAAAACCCCTCTAGTTGAACCATCACATGGCATCTTTCTCTCCGCTGCTTTACTTAAATCACAACAAATATGATGGTAATTTCCAAGAAAGAAGATGTACAAACTCCATAACCTATAATACAAGTTACAGAACCCATTTTGTAAGTCCCTATAGGTCACCAAACCTGTGCTCAATTTTCCTAGGCCTGGTTCATCACACAAGGCCTTCCATGTCCTTGAAGACATCGTTGGAAAGTCCATCTTCAGAAGATGTTAAAATGTTCCTCTTCTGGCTGCTAAGTATTGTACAGTTCCAGTGTCCCCATGTCCCCTCCCAAACTTCCTACACTGAAGCCTTAAGCCCCATTAGGAACATGCTAGGAGGGGAGATAATTACTCCCTCAGATTCTTGGGGGTGAAAAATTGTGTCTACATAAATGGATCACAGGATTTTGGAAGATAATGGAAATGAAAATTGGAGGTCTTAGAATGCATTGTTTTAGGGAATGAATTTAAAAAGCCCACAAAATAGATAAAAACTGAAGTTTGGATTGAGAAAGAAGTGAACAGAAAACATCAGACATAAAAATGACAAATACACCAACTGAATAAATGCCAACGCAAGACTTCCATGAAAGCTTTGATCCAAAATGGGTGGTGCTGCCCCCTAGGGGCAGTCTTCCTTCCTTCGCAGTAGACATGTTAATGCGAGTCTACTTGTATTACCAGGTGGGATCATGAATGTTTCTGGCAGCCAGGTCCTTCACAATAAAGACGCACAGCTTTTAGTTGCCTTCTCGTTTCATTGCAAACCCAGTTCACAACAATCTGAGTCCACATCTTCACTTTTCTGTGTCAACACACAGAGGACTTTTATCTTAACGTGTTTTGGGTTTTTCAGGAGAGCAATTGTGCTGTATACTTAAGTACACTTGCATAGCAATGATGATGAACAAGGATTCTGAGCCACACCATCTTGATTTTCTTCCTGGCTCTGCCACCACCAGCTGCACATTCTTGGACAATGCCCTCAGATGAAAAACAGAAGTGACCGTGGTACTCAACTCGCAGATGTTATTTGGAACAGTGCCAGGGATCATTAGCTCTATATAATGGTGTCATAGACATGTTTTGTAGAACTTTATCTGGAGTCCTCCACATTTTAGAAAATTGTATTGCTGTCATCATTTGGGAGCCCAGTATTAAATGGCCAATGTAGCAAGCCTGTATTTGGTTTCATGTATAGCTACCATGATCACATTTTTTTTTCTTTTTAAAAATTTTTTGTGTCTGTGGGTGTTTTGGCTGTATGCATGTCTGCTCACCATGTACATGCAGTGTCCCAGGAGAGAAGAAAAGGGTATCAGATTCCCTGAAACAATAGTTACAGATGGTTGTGAATCACCATGTTGGTGCTAGGAACAGAACCCAGGTCCTCTGAAAGAACAGCCAGTGCTCTTAACTGCTGAGCCATCTCCTTAGGCTGCATGATCATGACTTTATACTATGTATGTGTGTATACCATGTACTTTAACTTTTTGATTATAACAATATAGTCATGCTACCTAGAGCATTTACATATTAAAATATTTCATTTACATCTGATTTACATTTCAGCCGTGACACATCAAGCATACTACCTGCCAAATGCCTTTATGGGTGCATCTTTTATCATCCATGATTTTCATTTGGTGAATGTAGTGATGTTATAAAACAAGGACACAAAACAACCTCCACATCAACATGAGCAAAGCATGTGACCTGTGACTGAAGCAGCACACACAGGGCCAGTATGGTTCTGCACCTGGTCCTCTGCGAATATATAATGGCTTCCAGTTTAGTGTTTTTATGGGATTCCTGAGTGTGCAAATGAACAGGTCTCTGATTCTTGTACCTTCTCTTGGGCTCTTTTCTGGTGGAAGCCAAGCCTGACCTCACACCGCCACCCTGCGGCTCAGTACTCGATGGAGCTGGACTTTGGCTTTTCCTTATGTTGGGTTGTCTTGTCCAACTTTGATGTGATAGCTTATCTTATTATGAACGAATGAAAACCTGCCCACCAATTGCCACTTCTATCTGCTGAAAGAGAGAAAATTAGTTTTCTCCAATAGAGTGACACTAGATAGCAAACACTCCAGGACAGGCCACATGTTCAGAAGTGGTTGACCAACTCCACAGGTTGTGTTGTCTGTGTGCATGGTGTGTGTGTGTGTGTGTGTGTGTGTGTGTGTGTCTACTTGGTTATAGTTTGGTGGGGATTTTGGGTTTTTTGGTTGTTTTTTTTTAGTGTGGTTTTAGTTTGTTTTCTTGGTTTGGGAGCTTTTGTTTTTTTGAGAAAACTTAAAAGTTGGATGAGTGGAGAGAGGCAAAGAATCTGGAAGGACTTGGAGAAGAATAAGATCAAATATATCTAAATTTAAAATTTGTTTAAAAAAATAAAATGTAATTAAAAAAAAACAAACACGTCTTTCTTAAGAAAGGGGATGGTGTTGGGTTGGGTATGACAGTTCTAAAATGTCACCACTTTAAGATACTATGCCATCCTTCATTTTCTGTGTTAATCCACTGCTCCCATTGAAAGGGGGTACTGTTGGACCAAGGAGTGTTCACTCATTTTGAAGAAATTTTGGGTTTTTTTATTGTATGTATGCATGTGTGTATGTGTGCACATGCACGTACAGGCATGGAGAGATCAGAGGCAGACACTGGGTGTCTTCCTTGATGGCCCTCCATCTTACATATTGAGAAATGATTCTCGCTGAACACAGAACTTGCAGGCTCCAGCTGGTCTAGCCGGCCAGCCTGCCCTAGCACCCTTCATCTTCATCAGGAGTGCTGGAATTACAGGCAGTCGCCACAACTGCAGGGATCTGAGCTGGGGCTGGGGCTTACCTTGGGCAGCAAGCTCTTTACTCACCCACCCATCTCCCCAGCCCCATTTTGAGGAACTATTATTAGCTGTTGTTTATGTGTTTCAAAAGTAAAGGTTTATGAAATATTTTACCAGCAATAGAGTTCTCAAACTTAATTCAGGTTTTTTTAAAAAACTGATTTAAAAAAAAAAAAGAAAAGAAAAAATTTGTGGAGGCTGTAGAGGAGCAGAGGAAGCCAGAACTCTCCCTGGACTTCCTACAGCGCTTTCAGGAAGAGCCTGCGAGGTACCATCTGCTGCAATAATTTGAGTTGAGCACTGCAGAGAGGTAAGTCCGAGTTCTGAGAATCCATTCTTAGAATGGTCATTCAATTTAGGAGAGACATTTTCTATACAGAAAAGTGGCCACCCTACTTCCAAAGCTCTGTACATCATTAAGCCGTTGGGACTATAATATGAAGAGCCCTCTTCTAGACCAGGGAGTGAAAGCAAGCATCATGTCTGGGCACAGAGCCAACTCAGGTCAACAGGGAACTGGCAGGAGCCAACTCTTCTCGCACGTAGCCCCTTCCTTGCCTCCGGAGGCCCTTTTCTATCCTCTGCCCATATGCTTCAGGTTAAGTACCAAGAAGAATCAATCACACACACAATCCTTACATCTCTGTTTGGGACCCCCATCCCCAATATACTAGTGTCTCAAAGCTCAAGACACTGATGGGAAAAAGCTGGTGTGAACCAGACCACACCAAGAGAAGTGGGTGCTGGGTCTCTTAACCTCTCAAGAAGGGGGAGTGGCTTACAAAGTCCTCCAGTGAACATCTTGTGTACTGCATTTCAGGCAGGTCACTGGACAACCCCAGTGGTGTGGGAGAGGCCTGACTACAGCTCTGCCCAAGAATACCTTGGAAAATTCCTTTTCCATGAGTTCCATTAACATTTGCTTTGTTAGCTCCACTTACCACAAATTCATAAAATCCCCAAAATGCTTGGGAGTATTTATTTCAGTTTTTAATATTAGTGCCCGTGCTGGCAATGACCAGAGTGGTCACTTGTAAATCTGAAAACACTTTGAATGTCCTTTTCCTTGGGTTTCACGTATGACGCAAAACAGAAATATTTCAATTACATGTGACTAAGAGTAAGAAAAATATACAACTCTATTTAAAACACTTAAATTAACAAGATAGGACTTCTTTTCATTCTAGCAAAATATTGTACATTCGGTTTAAACAAGAGTTAATATGCAGACACACATTTTCAAAATACCTGATGCTAGTTGAAAATCAGTGACCATGAGGCTTTCCAAGATATTTCTAGTTAGCAAAATGTGTACAACTGGGAAAGACTGTAGGCTTTTTTTTTTTCCAAAAGAGAGACATCAAAAACAGGTCAATAACATAAACTGACCAATGTCCCATAACCCTAAATCTTGTTGCTTCATTTTCCTGAGGGATGCTTTGGCTCTCAGTAAATCTCATAGCTTCTCTCCCTCACGGAACAACACATATAACAAATGCAACACCCTCAAAACACACTTCTTTGTGTATGCCACACCCCACCCAAGTGTGCTCTAGAGTCTGTATTGGCTAACCTAAATGGAGGCGGTTATAGAAAGGGGGGGTCTGCTAAGGATGTGTAACAACTGACCTACAGGTAAAACCCTGCTCCAAAGAGCCTCACACACTTACCACACCACTCTGCAATAGTACAGTGACACAGCCACACTTATAAATATGTTCTATAGCTTTAAAAATCAAAAGTTTTCTCCTTCGGCTTTTTCAGATACAGAAGTTGGACCACAAACCAACACATATATGTGACAAAAGCCATCAACCTTAGTCCCTGCTGCCCAAGAAAACAAAAGTGTACAAAGTTGCCAATTCCTGACATCAAGTTGTCTGGCCAACACACAATTTACAAAGTATGTCTCCATGTTCCCACATTGGGGAGGCAAAACCAAGCAGGCCATGCCATGTGTCTGTCCTTCCTTCTGCCTCCACAAACAGCACCTAAGATCCTCTAGATTAGATGCCCTCCAATGACTTCAGAATTCCAGGAACAGCAGTATACAACCTTTAAAAATAAAATAAAATAAAATGGAATGAAGTAAGGTCGCCATGGAGCACTGCAGATGGAGTCTGAAGAAGCTATCCACTGAGGAAGAAGGCACTTGCTAGCAGGAGACAGGCAGGAGGCTAGCAGAGCAGCCTCAGTGAGTCAATAGCTTGAGGCGCGTCAGCCAGCTAACCAGCAGTGAAGGCTCCCCAGAAGATGCCTTGGCAGAAGAAGTGGCTGACTTCTTCTTGGGCCCTTCCTCCTGGAAGGGAATGGTGGCGCTGCTGTGTAAATCAGAGTTGAGATAACACCTGCTCCCTCGGATGTAGTCCGCGCCTCGAACCAGGTGCCGCTCAGTTGTGGGTCTGGAGAATCGGTACACAGGAGATGCACTTTCTTCAATGATGGGTGTAATCCGCTCATTACTGAAGTACCGGCATAGGGCATCGTCCCCTGTTTTCAAACAAAGCCCACAAGCCTATGAGAACAAGAACCCTGGGACTTCACACCACTCAAGTAAACATACACCCAGCTCTCTAACCTGCAAAGCCCTGTGAATGACTTTGGCCTACCTCAGGAATGTTTGTAAAGAGAACAAGAGGTTCACCATCAGTGTTATGGTTAAATCAGAAAAGTCAACACCTTCTCCACCTCCACACCCACCAACTCATGCTGACTGCGTGCTCCTTAGTGGCTGGCACTGTGTTGGGAGGCTGTGGAACCTTTGGAAGTAGGGCCTGGCTGTCGGATGCAGATCACAACGGATGGTCCTTTGGAGGCTATACCTACTCTTTAGTTCCTGATGCTACTGACTTACCAATCGAAGTCTACTATCTACTCCCTCTGCCATAGCTAGAGTCGTGCCTTCCAAGTCATGATGTGTTGTAAAATACTATGTTAACTAGGCAAAGATGTGTTATATATTTATATGCTGCGGAATATTACTTTAACTATGTGAAGGTCTGTCACATTTGTTTCTGCTGCCTTTGTTAACAAGGTAAAGGTGTGTTACATGTGTTTGTGCTGCATTTGTTTCACCTTGCCTGCCTAAGGCACCTGACTGGTCTAATAGAAAGCTTAACGGCCAATAGCTAGACAGGAGAGGGGTACGCAGGGCTGGCCAGCAGAGAGAATAAGTAGGAGGAGAAATCTAGGCTTGAGGGAGGAGGAAGAAGAGAATGGGGGAGAAAGAAAGGGACATGCCTAAAGCCAGGCAGCTACCAGCCAGATACTGGATATTTCCATCAAATCCCTCCCCTCAGAGCTCAGGGAAAGCTGTAGAAGAGGAGGCAGAAAGAGTGTAAGAGCCAGACGGCCCTGTGGAAGAAGGAGGCAGAGTATAAGAGCCAGAGGGGATAGAGGACACCAAGAAAACAAGGCCCTCTAGATCAACATGAGCAAAGCTCATGGGAACTCAGAGAGCACGCACAGGGCCTGCAGGGATCTGCACCAGGTCCTCCGTGTATGTATTATGACTTCCAGTTGGATGTTTTTATGGGATTCCTGAGTGTGAATGAGTGGGTCTGATTCATGTGCCTTTTCCTTCAATTGGTTTGTCTTGTGCAACTTAAATGTGATAGGTTTTTCCTTTAATCTTCTATTTAATTTTGTTATGTTTTTTAAATGAATGAACGAATGAAACTTTGGCACTAGGGTAAAGGTTAACAACTGAACTGTCACTTATACCTGCTGGGAGAGGGAAAATCCGTTTTCTTTAATGGAGTGTCACTGAGTATATCAACCACACCAGGACGGGACTCATGTTCAGGAGTAGCTGACCAACTTACAAAGCACTCCACAGGTTTTGGGGGTATTTTGTTTTGGGGTTTTTTTTTTTTTTGGCATTTTTATTTGGTTACAGTTTGGTGTTGTTTTGTTTTTTCCTTTTTGAGTGGTTTTATTTTCTTGGTTTTGGAGGAGTTTGTCATACTGGGATTTTGTTTTTAGAGAAAGAACTTAAAGTTGGAAAGGAGGGAGAGGATCTATAAGAACTTAGGGAGGGGAAGAATATGATCAAAATATGTTTAAATTTAAATTTTGTTTTAAACAAAAAACATATATAATAAAAAGTAGAGTCAAAACAATCAACAAAACAAAAACTTCATTTAAAGGGGGAAGACAATATATAATGACTCTAGCTATCAGAGTTTCTTTTCTAGAAGTAAAGACCTTTAAAAGTCAAGTGCTTCTGACTAAGAATAAAACACACTCAGGTATGTCCCCAGTCAGCAAACAGATTAAAATTGGTACTGTCGAGTAGGAAGTGCCTAACTAAAGCCTCCTGTTTCCCAGTTCTTCTGATCAAAATCTTTTCACTTTGATGTATTCTCACTGCCAGTCTGTCTCTTGCCCAAGTAGAAGAAATATCCTGTCCTGCCACCAAAAAAAATCATATACTGTATATGCCTATTTACAAAATTGGCAAACTCATGAACCAGTGATTGTCGGGGGCTGAGAAAGGTGGAATTAGGCATGAGAACCACCAGGTACAGAACACTTTTCAGGGTAATGGGAATGTTCTGGAAGTAGACAGTGGTGACTGATGTGTAATTCTGAACATGTTAAAACCACAAAGTTGTCCACTCCCAGAGGGGAGGACTCCATCCCAGGACCACTGCTCACTCATACAGAGGAGGACTCCATCCCAGCACTGCTCACTCCCAAAGGGGAATGATGGGGGAAGTCCTTCTGTGTATGTTTGTCTTATTAGTTGATAAATAAAGCACTGTTGGCCAATAGGAAAGCAAGATAGGTGGGGCTAGGTGTCAAGGAGGATTCTGGGAAATGTAGTAAAGAGAGGAGTCACCATGTGATCCCAGAGAAGAGAGGATGCATGCCACTGTTGTCCTCAATAAGATTAGTCCTTATAAAATATATAGATTAATGGTTATGGTTGATACTTAAGACAGAGCTAGCAAATAAGAAATCCTGGTCATTGGTCAGCAGCATTGTAATTAATATAAGACTCTGTGTGTTATTTGGGGACCCTAACACAAGCAGCAGAACTCAGGCGGCTGTCGGAAAGAGTTATTGTTACAGGGGAGGGCTCAATCCCAGGAACACTGCTGTTTCATTTCCTAAGTGGCCATGTGCAGAGAGACAGCATCACTTCTGAAGCAGTCGTCAGTAGTCCTCCTAAGCCCCAATCCCTCCACTACACCTCTTCATAATATGAAGGAGGACAGGTTGGATCCATGCCCAGAGAATGGCAATGAAGATGTTAGCATTTTAAATCTAAACAAAGGCCAGCCCTGCCACCTGCTGACTGCTGCAGACTTTGCTCTGCACACCAGGAACATCTGAAACCAGGGACTGCATCTAGTCTCTTTGTCATGTTAGTATATCCAAGCACAGAGGTGACAAGGTTTACTTGGGAGATGTTGGGAGTCACTCACTGGGAAGGTTAGGCCTTCAGAGTTTATTCTGTCCTTTCTTTCCCAGACCAAAGCCATCTCTTGTTACCTCACTTGTTCTATGTTTCAACATTACAAAGGTAATGCTATCATTTCCATCCAATGCTGGTAATCAGAGCCTATCTAGCAAAAACAGGCAAAAGTTTTGTTTTGTTTTGTTTTGAGACAAGGTCTCACTATGTAGCCCTGGCCAGCCTGAAACTCACTCTGTAGACCAGGCTGGCCTCAAACTCCAGAGATCTGTCCTTGCCTCCCAAGTGCTGAGATTAAAAGCACACACAAATGTGCCCAGCATAAAAAATACTTTTAAATGCTTCCTAAAGATTGGTGTAATAACTAGTAATCAATTACAGAATGAATTAAAAAACAATTTTTCAGGCAGTAATTATGCCTTAATAATTTAAAGAGGATTTGTTGATTCATCAAAACTCAAGTTTTTAAAAAAAATCATGCAACTATGTATGCTTAATGGATGATTTGTTTTAAAAGTGGACCGTTTGTGTCTAGAGCCTTTTAAAAAGCCACAATGCTGACTAGATTCTAGGAAGACACAGTTTTTCCAATTCTGGAAACAAGCACTATTCTAGCAACCTTCAGCAGGCCTGATTTACTGATGACAAGGGGGGCCTCAAGAAAGGCTATCACCTTCAGGATAAAGCACGGAGTGGCCTGGGTTCTGACACCATTCAGTGCTTTTGGTTTGCTTAGATAAAACATACCTTTCCTCCCAGGGCCTCGAGGTCTGGCAAATGGGTCCACAATCCCCATCCAGTTCCCATCTGCAGGCATGGACAGAGGCCGGGGTTTGCCTTCAGAGACCAGGGGGTGAGGCAAGGTTAGTGACATTTATCAACTTGAATACAATCCCTCCCTTCACTTATACTTAACTCCCAACCATGCCCACTTAAATAGAAACAGTGACAAAGTTTAAAATAAAACTATTTTTAAAGCCCCATGTTGACACTGAGAGCTCTTAGTGTAAAGGCATGCTAACGCTGAGTCTTGGAGTCTCCAACGCTGAAGTTAAAACTGTAATGTGAGCTCACCCAGCTGGGCTCTGATGCCAGGCAGAGCAATGACTCAACAAGGCTTTGCTTTAACCAGATGAATAAAGGGCTCATACCTAGAATTTCATTGAGGTTTATGTTTTCCTTGGATCACCTTCGGAGTCTGCCAAGTTCATGCCAGAGCCCCAAATAAGGAAGGGGTGGGGAAGAGAACTAAAAAGAAACAGCAGGGCAAGACACACACAGGAGAACTTACCATAGGATGGTGTCTTCTTTCTCATCTTTGTGGGTAGAACATTGGTTCCCACCGAATAAGCTGGCAACTGATCGGAATCAGCGATGGTAAATCTACGTCTTTGGCTCTCCTGGTCCAGGAAGGAGTTAGGAGACTCTGAACCCTTACGCCCGGACAGCTGCTGTTTACCCTTACTGGATCCTCCATAGGCAAAGCTCCTATTCTCGTCCCTGGAAGACAGTATGTAGTGACTAGGGAGCTCACAGACCAGCTCTCTTGCCCAAGAATGAACAACAGGAGTCCAAGCTACCATGGGCACATGTGACTTCCAGCTCCGTCCCACTAACTACTACCCCACTCAAATTACCCCTTCAAGTACATACAGATGTCCTGAAGAACAAAAGCCATGAACCTATTACAACCAAGCAAACATGACCTTCTATCCGTGTATGTCTACACAGAACAAGTACACCCTGAAAACACAGTTCTTGCTTTGCCCACATTCTGTTCTCTGGGTGAATATCCTGTTCACACCACTGCACCATTTTCCTCAAGCCAAGAGTAGGATCATTGCCTGGATCCAGCCACGAGGGCTCCTGACATATACCGAAGTTGTTAGGTCTGAAAATTTTCCCAACACTATAAAGGGTATGTCTCAGAAACCAGAGGAGGGGAGCTATTTCCGAACTCAGTAAAAACATAAGCTGGATCAGCAATTCCATTCTAATCCTACTGAAATTTCAATATATAGCAGATCTCAGTTTGTACCTGAGCCCAAGTTACCAGAAAATTTCTTTCTTTGCATTTGGCAAAAGTTTTGTAAGGCAATCAGTAGAAGCCAAGTGGGCAACATATAGAACAAAGAGGGAGCCTGTGAGTAGCATCCCCAGGTGAGTCTGCTACCCACATTCTTCCCAGAATCATCTTCTACAATTCAAATCCACCCTACAACCTCCTCACTCACAAGCTTTCATGACTCCTTGTGATGAAACTCGTTTCTCTGAATCCATTGGCATTACTCACACCTCAGAGAAGGGGTTCACTGGTGGCCTGTGTGTATATGTACAACCATGTGTCTCCTGCAAAGGGATCTGAAAGTCCCAGCTTCCTGCCTTCCTATGTATACAGCCCCATTCTTGTTGGTATGCCTGTGACACGGTCACTGAAGCCCAGAGGACACTCAGAGTCAGGGGCTGGAGAAACTGTCTCCCTATAGTTCCTGACACAATGACCCACACCTTGGCCTGTGAGGTTCTGGGGACCCCATGTACGTGTGTATGTGTGTGTACCTCGAATATACACATCTTTCTTGGTAAAATCAGGCAACAACTTTAATGGTTCTCACAAAAACATTAGCTTCTTCCCTGCAAATGAATTTATCATGGATTTGGCATAACTTAAGCTACAGGGATCCCCAAGCAGCCCCTTCCAAGGCCCCAAAAGCATAGACTTCTGTAAATTTTCCACAAGTAGGATCTGTTGGCATTCTCTTCCTAAAAGGCCCTCACCACCAACTGTATCACTCTCAAGCTCCATGAAGTGAGACCCGGGCCTGCAGTCCCACACAGTGAGTCAGATCTTGCTGTGGAAAGTGGCTTCCTGGCTCAGCAGCTACCATGTAGAGACAGCCAGTCCACCCTATGGAATGGGAACTACATACCGGGGAGAGTAGGGAACAGCGGGTGGGGGAGGAATGTAGAGGTCCAGGATGGCTGGTTTCTCCTTCTTCAGGGAGGCATCCATGGTGCTTTCTGGGGACTGGGTCGTGGTGGGTGGGGGTGAGGTCTGCAATGAGAGCCACACAGGGAGTTAAAAAGCAGAGGTCAACTTGGAAATTATTCTTGGTATAATTCTCCCCTACCCACTGCAAACCAAGCCAGGCCTGAGTACAAGAAGAGGCAGAGTTCACCCACACACTCATGGCTATGGACAGTGCTAACATCCGTGCTTCCATGAGGTCATCCACTCATAGAGGACTTTATAAGCCCCTGGGGTTTTAACTCTAGCTTTAGGAAAACCACTTAGAATTCCATGCCTCAAAGTCGGGCATTGGTGGCGCATGCCTTTAATCCCAGAACTCGGGAGGCAGAGGCAGACGGATCACTGTGAATTCAAGGCCAGCCTGGTCTACAGAGTAAGATCCAGGACAGCCTCCAAAGCAATACAGAGAAACCCTGCCTTGAAAAACCAAAAAGAATCTATGCCTCAGTTTCCTCCTCTGTAAAACTGACACTAACAACCCTGCTGGTGGAGAAAAGCACACAGCGGTGTCGTTGCAATTAGCAGTGCAGCCTTGGGGCTCTGGGTGTGATCTGGCTACCCTTCTGATTCTCTGTGTATTGCTGAGGCAGTCACTTAGCTTCTCTGTGTCTCATCCTTGAGATGGGAATTGATGGGAACAAGAACAGTAACCAGCTGGGCAGCTGTGGAAACTAAGGTAACACACATGAAGGGCACAGGACATGCTTGCCACACAGCAAATACACAACTCAATCTGTTGAATTTAGCAATGTCCACAGTAAAATCACATTTTTAAATTTAAAAAATTTAAATCTTTACCTTAACCTTATGTTACTGATCTCAAAGGACTTACATTTTTATTAAATACTTAATATTCATACACATGCATGTTTAGATCCAATCCACCTCCATTATTCCCTCCCTTATCCATTCCCCTTTCCTGTTCTCTCATTCCCTCTCCGTCCCTGTCATCCCGCCTCTAACTTCATAGCCATTTAGTGTTGTCTGTATGTGTACAGATACAGGAGCAGGGGCATCCTATCCAGGACCACATCCCTAGAGAAAACTGACTCTCCTCCCAGCAGCCATCAATTGCCAGTGGCTCCTCAGACAGTGGTAAGACTTCTTGTGCTGGGAGATCCATGCTGGGATTTTAGCTGACTCAATCTTGTTTGAGTCTTGCAGAAGCAGAGAGGACTTACATTCTAAAATCTCCTAGGAGACCTTCTTATTTCTTCTACAATCTAGCAATGGCATTGACCAACCAGCTTCAGTTGGGAAAGGACCGGCCAGGTCCTCACAGTTACTATGGGAACCACTGGCGAAGGTCAGCAAGTGTCGATGCTAGACACTTCAAGAGAAGGAAGCACTCCCTTTGAACTTCCGGTTATGATGGCTGCAACGGATTCCAGCAACTGGAAGGGTTCTACAACTAGTGTGGACTATGTCCACAAGAACTATGTCCACCAAGAGATTCAATGCAGTGGCTACATTCAGAATGGATACAAAGGCACAGAGGCATGGGCTCTGTCTCATCTTCTAGCATCATACCCTAACCCAAGCCTTTAATTCAGTTCAATGTGGAATTCATTGATATCTAATAAATTAATGTATCTCCATATCTGAAAACACAGGGACAAAATCCATATCTTCAAAATCCTGTGAGCCACAAGTACTCTGGAACACTCCCGTAAGACATTTTCTCCCCAGAATTCCAACATGAATGATGACTTCTGTTTAAGAAAACCCTCATTTGTCAGGTTTAGCCTAAAAACAGAATGGTGAACATCTCCCATGTGGAAGGACAATACTAAAGGTACTGAGAGGAATGAGATGACATTCCTCCCAGGAGTGCTGGGCACCCAGGTATGGTGACCATGGAAGACAGAGCTAGAGAAACACCCAGGGTCAGGAGCGGAGCAAGCCTACAGTCTTGTGTTTACATTCTGCAATCAGCCTTGGACACACTGCAAGAAGATCTGGTAGCTGAGCCACATAGCAGCTTTTTTGTCTTCACTGTGATTGTTCCCCTATGTGTCTCCATCTCTACCTAGCTCCTCATCCTCAGGCTGCACAGTAACAAAGAATGCTGTGAAGAGAGAGAAAATGAAGGATGCCCCCTTCCAATGTCCATTTCTGGGACTCAAGGGATGAACTAGCCTCTATTTATACTTAACTTGCCTTCTGATCTGAACACATCACCATGGATTTTCCTTTGCCACCTCAAACTCTGTCATCCTTACTGCAACTGCCATCTCTCCCTTCATAATGTTTCCTTCTTGGCTTTCTAATTTTTGTTGCTTCCCACTGTGTTTGACAGCTGCTTCTCCCCTACCTACGCCTCCCTCTATGCTTACCCCAAAGCCTTCTCTAATACTCAGCAGCAATCATTATGAAAGTGAGGCTTAGGAGGCTGAATGTCTCATCCCAAGCACAGAGACGATACGTGGCAGAGCTGGGACCCATGCAGTGTTGCTTGGGGACTCAAGCAGAGCCTCCTGGCCAAGGTCTCTCAAATCAGTCATTCATGTGAACCACCTTATCACTAGCCTTGCTATCTACAGAAGCCACCTATATGATATTTCTTGTGTCTAGGTAATGTCATGAGCTGATCTATGCCCCCCCTCAAAATTCCTATGATAGAGTCCTATGACCCCCGCCCCAGTACTTCAGAATATAATTGTATTTGGTATCACATAAGAGGCGAGCAAGTTAAAATGAGGACATAGGATGCACTCAATCCAACCGGTGTCCATATAAGATAAAGACACAGAGGGAGGATGTGAAGACAGAGAGAAAAGGTAGCTGTTTCTAAGTCAGAGAGTAAGACCTCAGAAGAGACCAACCCTGCATACCTTGACCTTGTACCCCAACTACTCAGCCTGTAGAACTTTGTTATGGCAACCCTAGTAAAGTAACACAGATAAGAATATAAAACTAGGCGTCAACCTGACCCCTGAGGGTAAAGTCCATGCATTCTAGCCCAGTACCAGATCTCTGCTATTACAGCAACCCTACTAACCAAGCCAACTGAGAGGGTTTGAGATATTCTTTGCAGCAGGGGCTGGGAAGAACACTCAGAGCCCTGATACTGAGATCTCAGGCCCCAGCTTCTGGGCATAGTAACTGCCAGAGAATGGCCCTCAGCAGACAAAGCTACCTCTCCTAAGAAAGGCCAGCAAGCCTGCAGCTGCCTGATTACACAGAACCCTCTGTCCTGTAGAGGGGGCCATGCCTGGAACTGTCCGTTCTTCACCAGTCCTTGAACATCGCTTTGACAAGAATCACAACACAGTCTCCAGGGACCTAACCCAAGACAACCTCTGCCTGATGGTCACATGTCCACATTGTGGGGGTGCGTGAGTTAAAAGACTAAGATGATGTGCCCTCATCTGCCTTTGCATACCCCACCCACCTTTCTTCTCATTAATAAGAGGCACCTCACCTAAGCAGTCCCTACTGCTCTCTCTTTCATACCTCTCCAGTGTAAGACACGATGACAACAGTTACCACAAAGTGCATTCTTGAAAACTGCTAAGAGAACAGGCTAAAATATTTTCACCACAAACAATGGTGTGTGAGGTCACATGTGTACTAATGACAATACATACAAAGTTTAAAACCCTGCACAGTTGGGTAAATGTGTATGTAGTTTGTGTGTCAATTCATTTTTCTCATTTTTGACTTTATGTATGAGTTGGGTTTTTGCTTGTTTGTTTTGTTTTGTTTTTGCACGCACGCATGCATGCAGTGACCAGATGAAGGTACAGGATGCCCTGGACTAGAGTTACAGTGTGAGCTGCCGTGTGGGTGCTGGGAATGGAACTCAAGTCCTTTGGAAGTGCTCTTAACTGCTGAAACACCTCTCCAGTCCCATCTCTTTGATTTTAGGACAAAAGGGACTTGAATCCACTTGCTCCCTCCTCTACTTTGCACTGATTTCCACTCCCTTAGCCGTGCCTGTAGATACATTTGCAGCATTATGTATCACAAAGCACTCAAATGCACAGTTTGGAAGCACTATACCTTTCACATGAAGATGCAAAGTAAAAACCACAGGCAGCCCTACAAGCAAAATGCAGTCTAAGATTTAAGGACCTTTCCGAGCTGAGGTCTCACTTGGCAGCCTAGGCTAGGAGGTTCGCCTCCTGGTGTTAAGGGCACGCATTTGGCTAAGGACTTTTCTCAAAACAAAAGCAAAGGCTTACAATATCATTGGGAAGTGAAAACTAAGACTGGCTAAAGGGGGTTTGTTGAGGCTGGGGAGGTGTCACTGAGCCCCTTGAGCTCAGCTGAGACAATAAATGTTGGTAATACTCGCAGAGGCTTTAAGCAACAAAACTCACCTAAAGTTGGTTTGTCTTTTATACCCCGGCATAGGCTGGGGATTCTGAACTGTGCCTGAGCAATGGTGTGCAGCCATTTCCCATCCACACCTGCTTCTCTGTAAAGTGACGCTAAGAACTCAGCATCGTGGGAGCCCTAAAATCAGGGTTCAAGTCATGTGTAGTGTATCAAGTGCTGACTGCTATTTCCCTGTAACTGAAACATTCCTCCTAGAAGAAAAAGGGAGGTTCTGAAGAATCAGAAAGTAGCTGGGAGATGGTAGTGCATGCCTTTAATCCCAGCACTCAGGAGGCTGAGGCAGGTGAATCTCTGGGAGTTCAAGGCCAGCCTGGTCTACAGAGAGAGTTCCAGGACAGCCAGGGCTACACAGAGAAAACCTGTCTCAAAACAACAACAACAACAACAACAAAAAGAAAGTAAACACACAAAATTACAAAATTTACAAGAATTTTCCCCAACATTACACAAGTAGTAACAGCTGCCAGGAAGAAGAGACAGACACTGAGGGCTGACAAAGCTCCTTCCAGCCATGCAGGGAATTCTAAGGATGCGTCTTGGGTGAGCTGTCCCTCATGTTCCGGTGGGATCTTCGATGAGAACGCTGCCTGAGTCACCATGCTCCTGTAAGCACCCACCCCGCCCCCCAAACCGACTATTTCACTCAGCTAGATGTCAGTGATTATTCTGGTCAGCCACTGGTGACCTATCTGGGGTAAATGGACATTTGTTCGTGTATCCCTGGGAGAAGCCACAGAACATGTTGAAAACAAGTGAGATAATTTAAAGTGAGCCTTCTGCCTGTGTGGTCCACTGGGGCAGCACCAGTCATAGGTGACTATTAGGCACCTGGAATGTGGCCAGTGAGATGGAGGAACGAACCTTTCAATTATTTAAATAGTCACATATGGCAAGTGGCTACCACACTGCTCAGCAAAGACCTAGAGTTTACATTTTCATGCAGGCAGGATTAGAGAAAACTGACAGGCAAACCAGCTCCTAAAACCAATCATCTTCGATTTCAATGTGTTTTTTTTTTGGGGGGGGGGTGCTGACAAGGTCTGTTCTAGATGAAGGTCTACAATGGTCACAGATACCTGCACGAGAGGTGGCTTCCACCGCAGGTTCTTCAGGGGGGCCGGAGTAAAGTTGAAAGAGCCCGTGGGCCTCTTCTTCAGTAGCAGCACCACACCCGTAGGATTCTCTCTCAACTTTCTCACCAGATTTTTCAACTGCCACCCAACCTTGAATGAGGGAGGGAACAGGAGGGGGGAGACGTGCTTGTGAGCCATGAAAATCCAACCCATGAACTTATCTCAAGGAAATTCAAGTTATGAGCAAATAAATCAATGAAAATATGCTCATCTTAGCACTACTTAAGGCACTGAAAAGAAAATGGGTACAAAGTGTGCATATAAATATATGCTGTAGAGATGGCTCAGCCATTAAGAGCACTAACTGCTCTTGCATAGGACTGGAGTTTGATTCCCAGCACCCATGTTGGGTGGTTCAGAATTCCCTGTAAATACAGCTCTAGGAGACCTGATGCCCTATTTCTCCCCCACTCCACCCCACCCCCGAGCCACACATACACACACAGTTTTAAATGTACAGTTATCAAGAAAAAATTACATCCCAATAAATGAACTTACCACAGTCTGCCGATTAACTTGAATGACTTCATCACCAGCGTGAATCTTCTGAGACCTGTCTGCAGGAGACTACACAGAAATAAAAAGAGAGAGAGACCTGGCTTAGGTGTCTGGCCCTCTCTTTCTGCCTCTTTCTTATGTAGACAACGACAACAGAAATAAAACTTTCTCAAGAAAAAAACAAAAACAATATATTAAAGTGCTCTATGGGTCTTGGCATATAAGTCTCTTGCAATTTACTACAATGATCACTCCATTAACACCTCAGCTCATGGAAAATATGAAATGTGTGGGTATACTGTTGAAATGGTTAGTTGATAAAAGCCATAAATTCGACTATAAATAAATAGATGGAAAACTTTACATGTGTCCCCATCACCACTCACCTTGCAAAAGCAGATGAACCATTTAATGAGTAAGGACCACTCTAATTATTAATAAACATAAATCTTTTTTTCCTCATTTTACAAATTACCACAATGCCATTAAATAAGAAGTTCACAGAAACAAAAACTTTATTTCTTCAAAGAAAAAAATATTTTCATCATCAGGATGTAAGTATGGCTTTAGTAAGAAAACAAGAATCTGAGGCTGGAGGATGGCTCAGAGATAAAGTCAGGCGCCCAAGGCCTCAGGAAGACTGGTCATGGTAAGGGTATGTGTGTTTCATGTGTTCCTATGTAAGACAAATGGCAAAGACGGGAACCTAGAAGCTCCCAAGCCGCTTACTTGGGGACTCAGTGGCAAACAACAGCAGACCCTGTCTCAGGATCAAAGGTAAGGACTGACACCCAAGGTTGTCCTCTGACCCCAAGACACTTACAGGAATACACACCCCACACACACACATAGAGTATGGCACGTGCATACCCACACTCACAGGAATACACACACACACACACACACACACACACACAGAGAGAGAGAGAGAGAGAGAGAGAGAGAGAGAGAAGAACACTGATATATATACACAAAAGAGCATACACATATACACACATACCCAGGTATATACCACATGCACACATTATACACGAAGAAAGACTTTTCAAAAAGAAAAAAATGAGGGGCTGGAGAGGTGGCCCTGCGGTTAAGAGCACTGGATGCTCTTCCAGAGATCTGGATTCAATTCCCAACACCCACATGGCAGCTCACAACTGCCTGCAATTCTAGTTCCAGGGAATCTGGGACTCTCACACGGATATACATGCAGGTAAAACACCAATGCAAATAAATAAATCTTAAAAAAAAAAAGAAAAGAAAAGAATGTACGCTTTGTCCCTTCTGAATTATCCACTACTATTACTTTATGACAACAAAGAAATCCACAAAAGGATTTAAGCCACTTGTCAAATGTGGTGCCTAGAATATTCTTGTTCATTAAGTAAACAAAAACTCATTCTGTTTAAGACATAACACATGATTGGAGAGAAAAGATAAACCTTGTATTTCTAATTAAACACTATCTAGGTCAGAGTATTTAATTTTGTAACATATATTGAGTGGGTGAAATCTCAATTTACAGTTATCTGAAGACAAAATAGCACCTTGAACAAGGGGGCGGGCAACAAAATTCAAAACACACTGGCTGGATTTTTCTCACCAACCGCTGTGATAGGCTCAACAAGAAATTAGCCGGCAGCATTAACTGTGGGAACACTGCCTCTGCTTTATCAGGCTCAGCTGAAGGCACAGGTAACTATGCTGGTTATTTTCAAAATAGCTCATCGGTTGCCATAACGACAGCAGTGCCTCACCGGAGAGCAGCAACCAGCTCAACACTGAGCAGAGGCACCAGTCTCTTCCTCCTCAGTTCTTTTTAAGGATGGATGCTCCTTCCTTTAGCAGTATGTCAGCTGCTGAAGTTAAGTCCAACCCCTGTATCAAGCACCATTTACTAAACCTCCATGGCTGAGGATTCATCTGAGGCAAGCTTCATTTTATAAGACACGGTCCCAAGGCCAAGAAGTCCCTGTTTATAGACACACGATCTTAAGACACATGAACTACTGTCCTCGACTGACTTCCCTTCCTAAGGATCCTTGTGTCTTCATTTCTCAGATGTCCCATCAGGTGATGCAGAGCTGTGTTGGGCAGAACACTGATAACCAGAGAGCCTAATACCAAAATGTTCCCCAAGTCAGAAGCTCTTGCCTATCTTCACCGTGAGTGGGACTACAGAAAAAGGATGCCTGCAGAGGTGTGCCCTCAGAAAGGTGATGACCCTAAGGACAATGCCCCATTCTTCTGAAACACATCCTGCACCCACTGGAGAGGACTGTTCGGGCTCCTGAATAAGGTCACAACATCCACAAAGAAGTCAGATAAAGAACTCCAAGGAATGATCTGCCTGACCCCGACTGCTGAGGTCACTCCAAAACCATGCACTGCACTGCTAAGAGTGGCCTGCTGGCTTTGCATCAGCCCGGAGCCCAGGGTGGGAGCACACGAAACTAGAAAATACAATACTATACTTATGAATCCGTATAGAGCATCCAGAGCATACCCCTGAAAACTGAGATCATGACTACTCCCCAGCTACAGCTACAAGACTTAGCCCCAGGTCTAAGCACATGCCAGGCCCTCAATAAATGCCATGTTGAAAGACTAAAGTAATGGACAATACTTTTAATGGATTACCACATGGAATCAAATGAGCTTTTGGTTCTTGTTACTGGTTAACATGATTGTAAGTAAGCCCCCTTCTAGGGCAGCTTCCATGAAACAGTTCTGGAGCAGACTACATGCAGGTAAATCCTAGGTCTGTCTCCCTGGTTTGTGATTCCAGTAGGAATTTGGGGAAGATACATTGTTATTCATACCCGACATTTCATTTGATTCTAAGGCAGCACTGTTTAGTCTCTCATTCAACTCTTATCTCTAAACAAAAAGGGGGTAAAAGAAGAGAGCAGCGATCTGTGCCCTCTGGTAAAACCACACACACACACACACACACACACACACACACACACACACCACCCCACCCCACACCACACCACACCACACCACACCACACACATTTATCAAAGAGAAATGTGCCTACCAGAAGATCGGGTGAGTCTGGAACTGCCCGAGTCTAGTCAAACCAAACAGCACAGTCACCAAATGACAAGGCTTTACAACTTCAGTCCTTGAAAACTGAAATGGCCACCACCCTTCTGAGTCCCTCCAGCTGAAAACAACGTATGGCGTGACGCTTGATTGAGTCTGTTCTTGCTGTGGTTGTGGGGGACAATACCAATTCTCCAACAGGGATAAGAAGTGGAGGATCATGCTTGTTTCCTCTGGAAGTATGTCCGGACCAAATCAAAGCTTCCTGGGCCACTACCACCGATCAGGAGAGAAGGTACAGAAATTCCTCGTTCGTGCTAGAGAGATGGCTCGGCGGTTGAGAGCCCTTACTATTCTTACAGTGGACTCAGGTTTGATTCCCAGCGCCCACATCAGACAGCTCGCAGCCACCTATAACTCCAGTTCAGGGGATCTGACTCCTCTGGCCTCTGCAGACACTTGCCCTCTTGTGGTGCATATAAACACAGATACAGATACACACACACAAAGTTTAATTAACTTAAAAATTCCAACTGATTCCCATGATCTTTCTTATTGCCAACAGGAAATACTTAAGGACACACTACCATCCACTCATTTGTCTATTAGAGCTACAAGGCTGATTTAGAACTCACTCATTTTCTTACCATAACACTCAAGAGCTGTACAGCAAGCATTCATCAGAGCTCATGTCACTTTTATCAAAAGGTCTAATATAAAACTTAAATCAGACACACACTTTCACCACAGTGGAAGGGGGGCTGCCAAATTTCCCCCTATATTTTGGAATTATCTCTTCCTCCATTGGTTGATGAAACAGACTCACGCCTCAAACACTTGCTTCTTCTACAGGCATGGGGAGCTGTTGAAATATTCCTACTTTATGCCGATGTCATTCAAGAACTAGCCATAGTTTAAGTTGCAAGAAAAATAGATTTACTTAGATCTACTTTTTTTCAAATTCATAATGTTTGAGAGGATAATGAGTAATTCTAGGGTTGGGGAGATGGCTCAGTGGGTAAAGGGCTTGCTGTGCACACCTGGGACCTGAGTTCAGATCTCCAGCATCCGGGCAAAAAGCTAGGCACAGTGGTACACTCCTATAACCCTAGAGCCCAGGGGCAGAACTAGGAGAAATCCTGGGGCTTGCTGGCCAGCCAGCCTAGCCAATCATGACATCCTATCTCAAAAATTAAAGTGGAGGACAATTGAAGAAAATACTCAACATTGACGTCTGTCTTCCACACAAATGCACTCATATACATGAGTGCACACACACAAACAATACATACAGCTACCAACCCCAGTTCTACTGTGAATGACTCACAACAACAAAGAGATAGTTATTTTTCTACTTTTGGGTTCACATTTCCATGGTGTAAAAGGAATAATTAGCACAAAGGTGGAGGGGGGAAAAAAAGGTGCCACGGCACTTGAACCAGAGCAATAAAGGGCAATTTAAATTATAAATTGACAACAGCTGGCAACAAGCAGCAGCAAGTCCACCAACAGAATAAATACAACAGGCTATCACAGCAGCTCTCACACATCTCACCCAGGTAACATCAGGCGCACACTTAAACCCCAAAGCTCAGAGCTGTGTCAGATGTGTCTAAGCACCCAAGGGCTTTCATAACTTACAAGTGCACACTTACATTTTCCGTGGTTCCAGTAATCACATGCAATCCATCATAGGTTGACTTGATGTACATGCCCTAGAGGGAGTCACCAACATATTAACTCATTATTTCAACATTCATAGAGACCTGCAGACTTTCAAAACATTGGACAGTCCCTTTGGAACACTGGGTGTTTTTTTGCCTCCCAAAACACCAGGAAACTCAATCCAAAGGGCATCGAGAGAGAGAGAGAGAAAACTTAACAACTGAACACAAGTAGAAGAGATCAGATGGGCAAGCTCTTTGATATTATAATGTGTGTACTGGGCACACAGGATTCTGCCACAACTCTAGGATGGAGGAATTTTCTCAGGCCTGCTCAGCAAGCCAGGCATTTCAAACAAGTGCTCCTCTTCTCTGACCATGGCTTTTTTCCCAGAAAAACAATGCAGTTGGCTCTGTCTGGTATCAGTGGTACACATGGGATGACTTTTTTGTAAGCTTAATTGTAAGGCAGAACGGGCTTGCAGTTGAAGTGAGCAAACTAATACAACACAGACAGCAAATCAGTAACTGCCATTGCTCTGTTATAGTGAACACCAAAAGATAGATGGATGGGAATGCTATCCCAAGAGACACCTTTCTTTAGGCAAACAGGCAAAATACTACATTACCAGATAAATAGCTCTATAGTTTGACGGCCCAAATATCAGTGTCCATTCTTATTAAACCATTACAAGATGAAGGGAGACAGAAAAAGGGGGCAGATAGGGTCAAATAGTACCTGATTATCTACACTGAACTTGTCTAATCTGTAACCTACGCCATTCTGAAAAAAGAATCTCACAAAAATCCTAAAACTCTCAAGGTCCGCAGCATTCTTAAGGGCTTCGATCTGAAATCAATGTGTGTCTGCCCTACAGAACTGTACATTCCTCCCCCAGCCATCACGAAAGGACAATTCTATCTCGGTCCACTCAGGGCATGGATCAGATTTCACCTCTGACTACAAACTCACACCCAGGAATTCCTCCAGCTTTAGACTATGCTAATCTACCCTTTACTTCAGAGCCAAGCAAGGGTACATGTACATGTAGAGGTAGATGTACATGTACATGTAGATGTTACCTTCTACCCACTGAGAATTTGTGTTTGTTGACAGTGATTTTTTTCTTTCCTGTTTAAGAGACTGTCTTTATATCCCTCACAGCAATGTATACATCAGTGACTCCATCTTCCTCCTTTATGTCCATCACTGTCACCGTCAACAGCATCAGTAGCTACAGCCTCCCACTGCACAAGTTCTGTGCTCTCAGCACTGGGCACTAGGCATCATCACCTAGGGTCATCCATTCAGCATTCCAATGAGAAAGCCCACATGGAAACTCTCTGGTTCAAAAGCTCTAAGCTAGTCAATGAGCCTCCTGGGTTTCTGTAGCTCCACAAATTAACCCCGTGAGATGTCTTCCTGCAGGCATCCTTTGAGTTTGCTATTATACACCTCACACAGGACGAAAGAAACATTTCTGAAATTTTCTTAGGAATCATTTCCTTCCAGCTGCCTCCTCACACCTATCTTAAGTGCTAATAGAGACCTCCAGAATAGATGCAGTATGTTTTCCCACAGACCATCTCTCCTTAGTAGAAATGTTTTATATTTCCTTTCATTGCTAAGTCCTGAAAAAAAAATAAATCTGTGAAGATGGGAGAAATTTTAAATTATACTTATTTTTATGCTTGAAAGATAATTATCTTAACAGAGTTTAAGATGGCAAATCCCTAAACACATATTATAATATCTCCACCACTCAGTGAGGACAGTAAGACACAGTGTAACGCTTACAAACCACCAAACAGACTTCTTACCAGGCCTTCCCCAGGTCTAACATTCGGTAAGTGAACTTCCTCCAGGCATGCACACTGGCTCATAACAGGATCCGAAGTTGAGCGCATTGTTTTGTCACAGATGCCATTCAAAACCTTGACCTGGAATTGAGGGAGTTCAATCGTTAACCAGGTTTATCTCAAGTTGATTTTTAAAGAGACACACCTCAGGCATAATCTTTGGCTCTGGCCAGCCCTCGCTACGGTAATCCTGCTCAATTAACACCTGGCATTCGGACTCCGTGTCTACAATCTTTGGGAATGCTGCTACTGTTTCAGCTTTCTATAAAAGTGTGGCTTTTATAACCATTCCTTTATGACCACTGTGAAGCAGAAGACAGGAAGAACCCCCTTTGGCGTCAAAGGAGAAGTTTCCCAGCCACCTAACAGCTTATTACTGAGGGGTCACTCACACTCCCTTAAATACTAAACATTGACAAGGGGGGGGAAGAAATTTCACTCTAAATCATACTGGTTTTGTTGTTATTGTTGTTTTGTTTGTTTGTTTTCTTTTTAATAAGCTTCAGGTTTGCAAGGTTCGGGGAAGGGATCAAGCAACAAATACACTGAATTCCCACAGACTTCCTCTCTCCATGCCAGCTTTCCCCACTATTAACATCTATATGGTGTTGTACATTTTACAGCTGATGAACCAATATTTAAATCCATAATTATAAGTCGTATTCACTTTTGTGGTATATGTCCTAAAGGTTTTGACAAACATTTAATATTTTATGTCCATTACTAAAAAGCATTCGATAGGGTGATTTCATTGCCATCAGTGTCCCCCTGCTCAATATAATCCATTTCACCCTTCCTTGTCCTGGACTCCTGGGCGGCATTGAACTTTACACTGTCTTCATGGTTTTTCTTAGGGGCTTATTTCAATTAATAATATACCTTTAAATTTTCTCTACATCTTTTCACAAGTTGATAACTCATTTATTTTTACTGCTAAGTAATAGTCTATTCCACATGTGTTTATCCCTTCACCTATAAAAAGACAGCTTGTCTCCTTCCATTGGGGGGAATAAAGCTGCTATAAACAAGTCAGGGCAGATTTTTGTTGACATTAAGTTTACAACTCCTTTGGGTAAACACCCAACAGTGCAACTGGTGGGTCATACAGTTAGAATACACTTAGTTTTGTAACTAACCACCAAACTGTCCTCTAAATTGTCCCAATTCTTCATCCCTCGGAGCAACAAGTGACCAGTTTGCCAACACTTGCTGTTGTCAGTTCTGAGTTTTAGTCAACTCTAGTAAGCCTGTGATGGTGTGTCCTTGTTTCAGTCTGTAACTCCCCAATCATAAATGACCAAACTTGGTGTGCTTATTTGCTCTCTTCGTGTCTCCTTTGGGTAGAAATGTCTCTTCAAATCTGTTTTTAGCTGGATCGTTTTCTTATTAGACATGTTTTAATATTTTGATTCTGTCCTTTAAAACATTTTTAAAATGTTTTAAAATGTCCACCTGTGGCCTGACATCTCACTGTCTTCAAAGTGAATCTCACAGAGGGGAGTCTCTGACTTTAACAGAATCCACTATTATTTTTCCTTGATAAACTCTTCTTCCGGTTTTCTGTCTAAAAAGTCTGAAGCCCAGATCGCCTAGATTTCCCCCATAACATCTCCGTTCCACAGTTTCAAGTTTTGCATCTTTAGCACCTTGGCCTCAATGACCCCTCCCTCCCTGTCGCTCAACGGATACAAGAGAGCACTCACGGGGAGTGGTCTTTCTACAGAGGCATCGGGGTTATGCATATGTTCTCACAATCAGAGCATCTACCCTTCCCAAATCAAATGAGCAAAGGCATCCGGAAATTCCAAAGGGCGACTGACTCTTCTTTCCAAGGTGGAGAATTCATAAGGTGGTACTTTTTCACATTCCTCTAGTTTTGTTTAGCTTCCCTATTTATGGAAAATATATTTATAGCAGTTTCATTGCCAAATTCCTCAATCCAAAAGGAGGAGGGCTTTTTATCAAAAGGGCACAGGCTGCCTGTGTCAAAAGGAGGAAGTGATGATGAATCCTTCCAGAATGCTCTTTACATAGTCATAGTACATACCCCACCCCCATTGGAAAGTTTTTGCCAAGGTATTTTTCTAAATTGAAACAGTTCTTCAATGAAGAGTGCACACATGATTCTCACTCTGATTTGCATGCTGAATAGCTGCTGCATAACTGTGCCCTGATGAATTAATTGTCCAGAAGAAACAACAACAACAACAGTAAAGTCAAATAGAGACCCCAGTATAGCCAGGAAGCACAGGAATTTTCACAAGCAGTGGTCTCCTTAAACAACTTTCACTCTTCTCTCTAAACTAACAAATCCCCAAAGCCAGTATTTCAAAATTCATCTTGACATAATTAGCCAGTGCATGTAATTAGTATGATTCTTATTGCCTTTGGAAAATGAATTGTATGGTACATTTTAGGAAAATACACTTACCACATTTAAAACTTTATCCTCCATTTCTGCTACAAGGCAATCCTAAAGAAGAGTAAGAAAAATAGCGTAAGAATGAAAAACATTAAAAAAAAATGGTCTAAGACAACTGGTCACAAAGCAAAGAATAAGGGAGATGGAATACACAGTCCCAACTGATGTATCTACAATACAATCCCTCCACCTAGGGCTCAGGGGAAAAAAACCAGGAAGAGGGGGCAGAAAGATTTTAAGAGACACTAGATGAGGATGCCCACTGCTAAATCGTGTCTTTGAGACATGACAGGGAAGCAGCACCCATGAATCTTAAGTCGGGTTTTCTAAAGAAGACCTACATTATGACAACATCAACTGACATGACAGCAAGGTTGGAGGAATGTCACACTGCCCTAGGAGAGAAGCCACCTGCTATCAGCGGAGGGAAGGCCTGGTCCTCCAGGGATGAGCCAATCCCAGTGGCCTCCCCTAAAAACATGTGCATATGTGTAATACTACTGGGGTTCAGGTGTAGGTGTGTGTGTGCATGTGTGTGGTGTACGATAACAACTGAAAAAAAAAAGAAGTCATTAATTTGAGGCAAAGTGGGGGAGACATGGGAGGAGTTGGAGGGGGCAGAGGGAAGGATGAAAATAATTGTAAATACAGTATTCAAGTATAAAACTATAATAAAATTTAAAATCAAATTTAAAAATAAATGAATCTTTCTTAAAAGAAAAAAATTGGCTTAGCTCTTTTGAGAAATCGCAAGGTCCCTGTCACATCTTCTACCAACTCCACCACCACTGCACTCAGGCTCAGCAGTCCTGGCAGGCCTGTATATGCAAATGGGGGCAGAGTGAAAACAGCTGACTTTCTCTTCTCCTAGGGCTCTGATGTCCTTTAAATCATGTGACTCATTGTAATAGGTTTTGAAAATCTATTGGGGAGAAAAAACAAAAAACCAAACCTTTGAACTGGGAGCCCAGAGCTCAGTGGAGGAGTGCTTGCTGAAGCATGCGCAAGGCAAGGCCCTGGGTTCTCTAGTCCTGTTACCAAACTAACTACACAACTGAAATCTACCTTCTGACCAGTGTGCAGAGCAATAACAAACTCAAGAATCCTATTTATGGTTCCAGTGTGATTCTAGGCTCAGCTAGCCATGGGCCAACAAGCCAGCAGCCCTTAGCTCAAGTCCTGCCTATAAGACTAACTTTCAAAATATGGCCTTGGGTAAACTCGGCCACAAAAGTTTATTTTAAGCACCAGTGAGATTAAATCACATACTTCAGTCCTTAGAAGATGAAAAAAGTTGAACAAAATAGTCATTAACACACTGCCAAAAAAGTGGTCTTGAGGCATGCTATTGATGACATTAAATAAAGGGCTGGAATGCAAAGCATTATTTTCTCAGCTAAAGAACAAAAGACTTGGAACACTGTGCCAGCAGGGTTAGCCCATTAGAGGAATCACCATTGTCCTTTCTCCAGAAGCCATCAAAGTGAAATTGACATGAAACTTCCACAGGTAGCCTTCTAGAACCATCTGCACTAGCAGATTTCAACCCAGACCACAGGTGAATGAGAGGAAACTAGAGAAAAGAGTTTCTCCTTTGTTAATTTTTAAAATTAAATTTATTCATTTTATTATAAGTATGAATGTTTTGCCTGCATGTATGTCAGTGCACCACGAGCATGCTTGGTGCCCTTGGAGACCAGAAGATGGCGTGAAATCCCCTAGAACTGGAGCTGTGGATGCTTGTGAACCAAGAGGATGCTGGGAATCAAACAGTTGGTCTTAACCACTAAGTCGTCTCTCAGCCCAGAGACGTACCTGGTTTCTTTAGCATTTATTCTGTGCCACTGAGTACAACCCCACACTGAGCCAATCTTGAAAACAATACTTAACAGTCTCGGGTGTGTGGAAAAATATCAATCAGATCTGAATTTACCAGTAACGATTTTCATTTAGGTTGGAATGTCATGTTTGGGTCATTTTTCTCGAGCATTAGCACAGAGGAGGGCTACCAGTTTTTATCCTATATGATTGCCTTGTCTTCTTAAAAATTTAAATTTTTCTCTGCCAGATATAAATAGAAGATGAATAACAGCTATTTTACTCCCCCCAAAACTGATGCTGACTCTCAAGAAAAAAAGCAACCTAGGGGAAAAAAATTTAAGAAACTTAGAAATACATTTTCCCACAAGCGTGACTCTTGATACAAACCTAAGCTACACAAGCCACTTTGTAAACCATTAGTAACTGCAGCTTGGAGATGTATTGTTCAACCTGTACTTCATGCATAGGACAGCCCATCTATTTCCACAACAGGTCATCAACTAGTACTAGGGAGAATTGCTACATAACAGCAACTCTGCAAACTGTTCATTCACGTGGCCTTAGGATGGCGATACAACAAACAATCTAAGAAAGGTGGTCTCCAATATTCCTCTGAGACTGTCACCCAGTCAGAAGGCCACTCCTACTACACCAGGGCACATGAGTCAAGGCTGAGGTGTCACCTATTGGTTCCTGATATTTGATTCTTTGGCATCCATCAATCCAAATGGGCTTCCTGTCATGGAGACTAACCAACGGGCACAAGTGAGAATCTTAAACTGTTCAAGCCAGTGTGTGAATGGACTCACTCATTACCTTCCACCAAGAGCATGGTAGCTTCCCACACCCATTCCTCCCCACCCCGAAAGGAAACAGCTGCAGGCATGACTTCATATTATCTGGCATGGTAGCCAGGGGAAGGAAGAAAACGTTCCTGAACAAGTCACCCCCTCATGAGTCACAGCTGAAGAGAAGCTTCATGACAGCCCTTGGTCACCTGGATCAGCAGTCAGGGCCACCCAGGGCAGCCAGCAGCTTGTTTCCAGGTGGGTCTCCTCTGCCTCCTGTCCTCATTCTACCTCACTAGGAATAGCGCAGCCTTGTACAGCCTGCTAAATGTCTCTGCCTCTCTCCTGCTCAGTAAAATAAGATGGCAAGGCCACATCTCAGAACTCAATGTGACCACAGGGCTCAAGGATGAGGACACACTTGACACGAAATCCCCACTCAATAATGGTGTCTCCCTCTTCTCCATCCTGCTCTCTTGGGCTCAAATACCACTCCACTGCTCTAGTCCCTGCCACTGCCTCTTCATTCTTGTGCCATTACACTTTAAGTCCTCAAGTCATTAAAAGGGTTACCAATGTGACCCTCAATCCCTTTCTGCCTTTGTTGCCTTTGTCTCATCTTATACCCACAGCCCGGGATAGGAGGACTGGTCCTCGTGCTTGGCGTAGACTACAGCAGAAGCAGCCTTGGAAATGTGCAGAAATGTAGTGTCACTTCGTGGGGAGAAAAGAAAATTTGCAACCATGCCCCTTCACCACTGCAAGGTGGGATCAATGCACAGAGGTTGGAAATGCCAGCTCGCAGGAGATGCACAGAGGACAAATCAAAGTAGGCGTGACTCTGTAGATGGAGGCATGAGATAGAGACTCCAGTGACGCATGTTCCCGTCCCTGAAGAGGAGGGAGCTACAGCTACAGTCCCCAGTAAAGGAAACCACAGAGTGAATGAGACTGAGGGCACAGTTTCTGAAACAGCTCATCTTGTAGCTGCCATTGCACTGCACTAGAAATGACACTGAAATCATTCACCAAGCTGGTCGCTCTGGGATGTGCGCATGCATGTATGTACATACTAATGACACTCACAAAGAAATGGCTCTTTCAATTACTATAGAAAAAAATTATGGTCAAGAGCCAAGGACATATCTTTCCCAAAGTTTAGAAAGTAACATCCCAAGTATATTTATATGTCTTAAGTCATCTTTCTTTAAAAGGGGCACATGTGTGTGCATATATGTGTGTGTGTGTGTGTGTGTATGTGTGTTCATATGTATAATACATATTCATGTGTATATATACCTATTCGTGTGTATATGCATACTCTCATGTATGTATACATATACACATTCATGTGTAAAAACATATTCTTAAATATATATATATATATATATATACATATTCATTCACTTATATATACATTTGAATGAACTGTCAAAGACCAAACTCAGAGTTATGAAAATGTGTTCAAATTAAAAGATTTTTAAGTTCCAGAAATTGAGGGCAGCATATGAGGGCAGCATATATATATATATTTTTCCTTCGTTCTCCTTAAATTATCAAGTCCAACTCTGAGAAACAGTATTTCCTCCAAAATACCCAAAAAGGCAAGATATTAATATCCCCACTTGAGTGTATTCTTTTGAGGCAGTGCTATGCTTTCTATGTTACATCACACATCACCTTCCAGACCGTATTTGAGGTAGATGCCATTTTTAAAACATCTCCTATTTCCCTTGAGACTGTAGCTCGGTGCACTCGAGATATAAGTAAGCATACTTACAAGAAGAAGCCCTGCTTTCTAGTCCCGGCAACGTACACAAACATACATACACACACACACATACACACACACACACACACACACACACACACACACACACACTCTCTCATTCATATCATTTACACGTGTGTGGTCATATATATGACTTTTATAAATAAAACATCTCTCTCTTCCCCTCCCTTTCTTTGCTTAGTCCCCTACACTCTCTGCCTACCTGTTTCCCTGCCAGGATAAATACAATTTCTCTCTCAAACTACCAGCTATATTTATTTCTTCCTTTACATATAGGTTTATGGACATCTGGCTATATTTGTATATATGTGTATATACATATATACATATGTATATATGATTATTTAAAAAATTAAGCATCATTTTGCTTCACATCTTAAAAAAAAAAAAAAGTAGTCCTGGCTGTCCTGAAACTCACAAAGTAGTCCACACTGACCTCTAACTCACAAAAATCTGCCTACTCTGCCTCCCAAGTACTGGAATTAAAGGTGTGAATCACAACCTCTGGCATTTCTCATCTCATGTTCATAATGCCTTTTTCTTATTCACAAATGGGACTGGGAAGGGGAACTTACAGCAATCCCACCAGGCCATCAGATAAAGCAAATATCAGGGTTCTCACATTACAGACAAGAGAGCAAAGCCTTGTAAATCTTAAATGAGTTATCCAGGGTCCGGTTCTAATGTGTGGTAAGGATGGGATTTGAACCTATGAAGAATATGCTCTCAACCATTAGACTAACTCCCCCAGTGAGTGCACAGAGTAGCAGAAAACGAATGATACACACTCACACTAGCAAGCACGGTACCTCTCGTGACCCGTGAGTGCAAGGTTCAATCTCCTAACAAAAGACCAATTCCATCAGCTTCCTGAGTGACAACTGCCTGTCTCCCCACTGAATTGCACTTTGAAAATTACCCTCCATTGTGTGTCATGTGCCATGAGGCCCCAGTGGCAAGAACAAGTGCCTTCACTCCGTAGAAGGCACAGCCACACTGAACCTAGACTTCCCAGTTGAAAGAGGAATACATTTTCCCAATCATCAGTGCATAGTATCAATAGCTCTCAACCTACAAAAAAAAAAGCTTCAAACTGGGGTCCTGCAACAGGCCAATCCTGCCAGGTGAGCACAACCATATCCCAGGTGAGCACAGATCCATATCCCAATGGCATCTTCCCAGCAAGGTTGGCAGCAGCCACGGGTGCCAAGCATCTGGCCTCCCCATCCTGCTCCTTTCCCTCCCCAGCTTGCTAACTTTGTGCAACTTTGCACATAATGTAACTTTGCTCACAGACCTTGATTCTTGCTTCTCCTTCCTAGACACTAAGCCATTGAGTCACAGACATCTCATCTATTTATTCAATCTGGCACCCTGGTGCCTAGAACAGTGGCAATCACGGGTGCCAAGTAAATATTTATTGAAAGAACTGTACCAATGCCTGCAAAGCCAATGCTAACCTGCTCAGGCAAAGCCTTCTGATTCTGTAAAAACAAATACCATTGCATCTGCCCCCTGCCTCCTCACTTTCCCTCTGCTCCCCCATGCTCCACAGCTGCAACCCAAATCAGGCTCACCAACTAGGAATAACACAGGTGTGCACCTATGAGCTACAGTGGCCCACTTGCTAATCTCATTGTTTGGCTCTTATACTTCGATGTAATGGATTGCAAGTAAACTCCATTATAAATCAAAGGAGTATTCAGAATAGTAAGGAGGGTGGGGAAGTGAGAAGAAAAAGAACCCTGAGGTAGGCATTGGGGAAACACAGTCCGCCATTAATGCCTGGTCTCAGACAGCATGGTGCTTTTGTATCACAGCTGACACCAGACTCCTACCATCAAAATTACCTCACACATCATATAAATGAGCAAAAACACAGATCCATATAGTATCCCTGGGCACCTCTGTCAGATCCCAGGTCCAAAGCACATGAGCTTCAAACTCAGTGGCTACTCAGGACTAGATCTCAAATAACTGGCACAAGCAAAGCCACATTTCCCTCTGTGTTACAGAAGAAAACAGCACACACACACACACACACACACACACACACACACACACCACAAATTACACAGGCATGCACGCATGCACATATACACACGCACACCTGCATCTGTTGCTGCATAGTCAGAAATAAGGGAAGGATACCTTTATTTTTCTATCAGATCATCCACAGAAACAAGTAACAAATCACAAAGTTAAAACCAAATGGAGAGACTGAGGGACAGCTCACTGGTTACAAGCACTTGCTAATACCACAGAGGACCCAAGTTCTATTCCCAGTATCAAACTGGGAGATTCACAACCACCTGTAACTCCAGCTTCAAGGGATCCAATGCCCTCTTCTAGACTCTGGGCATCTGCACGTGTGTGTCTGGGCAGGCGCACAGACACACGCAAACACAGGGAAGAGGAAAACACCCCTATTAAAAATTAAAAATAAAAATTTTAAAACCAAATAGATATGAAGAAAGAAACTCCTTCCTTATATCTATAACAAATTCAATTAAAAATAATTTATATATCTAAGTCTGAGTCTGACTGGAGAGCCATGAGGGAAACTGACCTGTCAGGTCCACCAAGGCTCTTTGCCTCTCTGCCATGGGACAATCAAAGCAGGTGCTGACTGTGTGCAGTAAGAAGAACCAGACACCATCTCCCAGTGGGAGCCATTCCTTGTAAATATCTAAGGGATAAACTGCTGAGGTTTGGAGTTATTTGTTATAGCCTCACAACCTGTCCCATCCTGACCTTTTTCCAACAACACAGGTCCAGTGAAAAGTCAGAACCAGCAGGCACAACAAAGCACTCAGAACAAAGTGAGAAGCACACTACCATGTTCAGAGAAATGCACAGGTATTCATGATTATAAGACAAAAGAAATAATTTATGAGCCCGAGGCTGCTAGTCGTTTTTCACAGAAGCCATCTGTTCAAACTTAAAGTCTTTCATCTCCACCTAATTCTGGTAGAAGGGGAGGATGAGACTTGTGTGCACACAGGGAACACTTGGAATAAAGAAGAGGAGAAAGTTCTAGAAACTGGTGATGATGCATTACTGACCTTCTGGACTGTCGTGGTCAGGTCCAGGCACAGTTGGATGATTTTGTTCTTTGTCACTGAGAAATCTGTGATCCCAGTGAATGGAGCCCTAGGAAGGAACAGAACTCTCCTCAGTGAGGGGAAGATGATGGAGAAGGAAATCCCTGAGAGTCCCACCCTAGATGCCAGCAGGCATGGTGACATTGCAGGATGGCTTAAGTTATTTTTTTTTTTTTTTTTTTTTTTTTTTTTTTTGGTTTTTTGAGACAGGGTTTCTCTTTATTGCTTTGGAGACTGTCCTGGAACTTGATCTGTAGACGAGGCTGGCTTCGAACTCCCAGAGATCCACCCGACTCTGCCTCCCGAGTGCTGGGATTAAAGGCATGCGCACCAATGCCCAGCTTAAGTTATCTTTCATCGTGCTATTTCTTCTGAATACATAGAAATCTGACCCTGAGTATCAGAAGAGGGTCATACACATGGCCAAGAGAGAACAGCATCAATAGCACTATCCATTTATACCATCCATGACCCACAACAATCACCACCACGGTAAAATATTCTGAAAGATCCTGAAGGTAACTAATGACTGTCTAATTAGATGCAAGGCCTGCTCAATAGGAATGAGCTCATGCCTGGCACTGTAAATTCAGCCAAATGCCTGTGACTGGTGAGGCCATGGAATCCAGAAGAAAGCCTACTACTGCAGTCTCCTAAGCCAGTATAATGTCTAACTACATTTGAAATACTTGTCCTTAAACCCACAGATAAGTGTAGCTCTCAACCCTCATCAAATAAGCTTCTTGTACTGTAGACAGAGAATGTTATAGAAAACTGTAACTGGTCAAAATGCAGAGATCAACTGACCATGGGGTCCTGTCCCCAATTGATACATTTTCAACACAGCATCTACAGCTAAGGCTCGGGGAAAACTGCAAGAGGACACAAGTGAGGGGTGTGGAGGAGAGTCTGTGGAGAAGGAGCTGGAGGGTGAAATATGGGGGTGGAACATGAACAAGATACACTGTCTCAAAGTCTCAAAAAATTAATAAAAATGCATTGAAAAAACCAGGAATCTGGATGGGGGGGAGGACAAAAAACAAAATACAATGGAAATGAGTCAAGTCGACGAACTGCTTCATACCAACCGCATACCTCCAGCGCTAATGTTTAATCTCAGTAAAACCACCTTTGGCACAGTTTCACACCCTCTGAACTTGGGCTCATTCATTCCTGCTTTTGACCTCCTAAGGAACTTTCAGAAGAACACTAAGATCTACCTCTGACCCATGACCCTGGATTCCAGGGAGAAGGGATCTAAGGAACAATGGTTTCTCTTTCTGAGGCAGAGCCGAGGCTTCAGAGCATCGCAGGGCTCTATGAGCCCCAGGATGCACTGCACCCATCACAGCTCACCGGTCCAGCCATATCAGCAAGGAAGCACTGCACACATCACAGCTCACCGGTCCAGCCACACCAGCAAGGAAGCACTGCACCCATCACAGCTTACCGGTCCAGCCATGCCAGCAAGGCCTTAGCAGCGCCAATGAGCTCCACCACGGAAGTCAGAAACTCATTGGGGGGCTTGCGGGACGTGTTCCCATCGTAAGCTGAACTCTTCCGCCGGCTACTTATGTAATTCTGTAAATTGTGGGAAGACGCTCGAAGTTTCAGAGCCAAGTTCTTCATATTATCCGTTTCAAGGCCATAATTCTGCAGGAAATAAAATCAAAGGGAAAAGATGTTAAACTATCAACAATGTCTAAACTCTCAAGTGACTGAGTAGCTGGAGTAACTTATCCAACTCCCACAGAATCCTGCCCACTCCAGCCACCTTCCCACAAGCTAGCCCTTACTCTACTCTTCACACAGCCTTCTCCTGCCTCAGGGGCTTTGACCTCCATAGACCTTTATCTCAAAATGCTCTTCACATAGATAGAAACAAGGAGAGGCCATTCCTATCACTCATGCCTGGAAAGATGTCCTCTCTTGGGACAGGACTCTTGACCATTTAGTTCAGAGCAGACTTCAGTCAACTGATGTGTGGTGGGGTAACTATTGAGGAGAGCTCCCATGCATGGCAGGATGTTAGCAACCACACTCACCCATAACTCCCTACACACACTTCAGATATCAGATTCTCACTCCCTATATGTAACAACCAAGAATGTCTCCCAAACATGTCATTGCATGTGTTCCCTGGGAGTAGAATAGTGACTTCCACTTACTCTCCAGCTTGTTACCTACTTCTGCCCCATCTGGACCACCTGCCAGACCAGGACTCTGCATGCCCCACCACAGCACCACAGGTGAGAAAGAGATGGATTTCCAACAGAAGGGACTGAGAAAAGGCGGTACTATCAGTTCACCCACCATTTAACATCTGCTTTCAACTATTTTAACTTATCTGCCTGCTTTAGAAACATCACCTTTAGGCTTGGAGTGCAGTTCAGTGATAGAATGCTTGTGTACCATGCTCGGGCCCTAAGTTCCAACTCAAGCACTGTGGTAGGTAGTTAGGTAGGTAGGTAGGAGGTAGACAGAGATAGAAATTTTGTGTGACAATATTGTCTTAGGCCCCCTTTCAGATAAAAATAAATAATAACCAAATCTGAGGTGATGTTGGGGAAGGGGAATTTGTTGTAATGTAAACAAACATGCCAAATCAATGTCTGATTGTTTTAGCAAAGAGAGGAGATACTGTGTGGGGTATACGATATTGTCCCAATATAATTTCAAAGAAGGGACCTGGTGCCATTTGGAATCTGGGCACAATATATTAGATACTTGCCATATGGCAAGAACTGCTTGACTTGTGTCCCCTGAGGGAAGTGGCTACTGAAGGCAGAAATGTGCCTGCAAGTTCAGTGTTTCAGTGAGGGTTTCTAATGCTGTGATGAAACACTATGACCAAAAGCAAGTTAGACAGAAAGCATTTATTTCATCTTACAGCTTGTAGTCCATCATCCAGGGACATCAAGACAGGAACTCAAACAGGACAGGAACCTGGAAGCAGGAGCTGATGCAGAGGCCATGGAGGAGTGCTGCTTATTGGTTTGCTCCTCATGGCTTGCTCAGCCTGCCTTCTTATAGAACCCAGGACCACCAGCTCAGGGATAGTACTGGCCACAGTAAGCTAGGTCCTCCCATAGCAATCATCAATCAAGGAAATGCACCACAGCTTTGCCCACAGGTCAATTTGGTAGAGGTATTTTCAAGTAAGGGTCCCTTTTCCCAAATTACTCTAGCTGGTGTCAGGTTAACACAAAACTTGCCAGCATATTCGGTGTTCCTTATCTCAAATGCTTGGGACTAGCCAGGTTTTAGATTTTGGGTAGTTTAGGATTTTGGAATATCTGCATGTACACGACTTATCCTGTGGATAGGACTCAATTATAAAATAAAACAATTGATTTTTAATTTCTGTGTCATAGTCTGAAGGCAATTATGCATGGGATTTTTAGAGTCTTGACTATGACCCTTACGGGAGATGAGATAAAACAATTTTGACTTCTGACCCCACTCTGACACTCTGAAAGTCTCACAGATCTCAGATGGTCTGATTACAGACACTACACCTGCATTACTACTTTAAAGCTGAAAAAACCAAGGCTCAAGAATGGTGGTGCATCATGAGACTACACAGGTGACCAAAGACAAGGCTGGGATTCCAATCAAGAGACAGCATGCAGGCCCAGCCTTTGGCTCAGCGTGCTGTGTACTTTCACTTGCTAGCACCCTGTCCAAGGGAAAGCCAAGATGTGAGATCAGCACAGGATAGACACAAGACAAGAGTTAAGACAAACAGACTGGGTATGCAAGTGCACACACTTCATCCAGAAATCAGGAAGCTGAGGCAGGAGCATGGACAGTCTGAAGCCAAGATGGGCACCTGAGACTCAAGAGGGAGGGAGGGAGCGAGGGAGGGAGGAAGAGAGGGAGAGAGAGGGAGGGAGGAAACCACTGAGGAGCTAACTCACCTACCTGGCCATGCAAATCAATTTTAAGATGTATCATATGTCATTTGAGCAACTTAGGAATGCAGGGCCTTGTACATCTAAGCATACACATACTTAGAGGTTTGCAATAACTTCCTTTTTCAGCAAGAAATAATGAATTAATAACAAGAGGGGTTTGCTCTAGTGACGATGACTTTAAACAGACTCTACTGGCAGTTTAAATCTGCACTGCTTCTACTTTTAAAAAAAAAGAGAAAAGTTTTAGGAGCTAGAGAAATGACCTGGTGGTTAAGGTCACTGGCTGCTCTTCGGGGGATACCTGTTCTAGTCCCTACACCTACATGTAGCTCACCACCATCTGTGACTCCAAGGGCCTCTTCTGTGGGCATGGGGCACACAGGTTAACAAAACACCCATGCACACAGAATGAAAATGTTTTAAAATAATTAACTTTAACACCTTGGAGGGGAGGAGAGGTGGCGCAGCAGTTAAGAGGATACACTGCCCTTAGGGAGGCCCTGAGTTGGGTTCCTGGCACCCACATCAAATGGTTCACAACCATCTGTAACTCAACCTCCAGGAGATCTGATACTTCAGGACTCCACAGTCACCTGCACCCGTGTGCACATACACCACATAGATGCACAAAGAATTTTTTTTTTAAATCTTTTTGTAACTTGGAAATTTTAGAAGGAAGAAAGCCAAATTCTAAAAGCTTTTATACAATCTTCGAAAGAATACAAATTTCAAAATGTTTCCTGTATCAATATTGTATCTAAACCTTACAATCACTTTTTTTTTTTTCTCCTATCACTGGCTTTTTCCTAAAGTCTAAAATAGAATATCCTCATTCAGTGGAGAAGAGGAAGTAAGGAGAGGTTTCCACGTGGCTTTTAATTTCAAAACTTCACAAATGGACAGATAAAGAGCCTACAAGACACGGCTTGTTTTGAAGGAAGACTTGTGTCTGGGATGCCAGGGAAGGCTCTCATTCTGTCAACTACCCAGCCTGCCAACTTCTATCAAGAGTGTTCACTAAAAGCAGGAGTGGCTGGTGTTCTGCAGCCAACATCACCACAATCATCTTGGAATTTTTACTCCTATAAATGTAAGACTCCTGGAACCCAATGAAGGTTAAAATACATTTTACTGTTGCAGAGGACTTCAAACTCCCTTCTCTTGACAAAGTTTAAAAATAAAGTATGAATATAAAAAAAAAAAAACGAACGGGAGATGGGGGCTTCTTATGACTGCTTCTGTCCATTTTCCACTGGGTTGGCTCTAATTGGTTTCTTTCCCCCAAAATAAATCCTAAAACTAGAAAGATGAGATGCATGTACACTTGAGCACAATTTTATAAAGAGGTTAAATCTTCATACATATAAAAACTTTAACACAAATGCACTTATCTAAGTGCATTTGAGAAATTCTAACACTGAATTTATTTATTTATTCTTAATTTAGCTGTAAGGTTTTAATATTTTTACTTATGTGACATCTTTTTCCAAAAATGGTGCCTTTTCACTAGAGGTCTTCCTAGATAGTAACAATAACTGAAATTACTGTATTCTAAATAAAACTAAGGGTGGGCAACTACAATTCCCATATGTAAAAGCATCAGAGATAAAAAATTTAAGAGGCAAAGGGAGCGGGCCTTGAACTTGGGATGATATCCCCTCCTCATCCTCTAGTTATGACTCACCAGCTTGGAGAATTATTCTCTCTGAGTTTAGGTCCCTCCCTCTCCTTTCTATCTGTCCTTATCAATGCTCCAAAACCTTCCAGTGATCCCAATGGAACCACCTCCTCCCACCCCTCCCCACCCCCTGTCCTTCTTAATCCAACTTGTGTTCACTTCCTGCCCATTAAAAAAACTCACTACAGTAAGTTTGCCTAGAAACCTTTCCAGCACCAGGGCTAACCACAGCTCCATATTAACTGCCCAGCAAATGAATTATTCAAAGCAAAACAGTCTCAATCATGTAGCCATCCAAAGATCATCATGGCATCAGATTTTAAAAAAGTATAATTATGCTGTGTTAGAATAGTATTTTACAGAGGATTATATGAAGACTACAGATATTTAATAAAGCTATATTAGACTCTCTCCTACTCAGAAAAAAAAAAAAAAGCAGTTTCACTTGCAGACTCTGGGGGAGGTCACCCCTTATCCCTACTGCAACGAAGCCAGGGCACACTGCTATATAGAGTCCCCAGTGAGACTGAGGTCAGAGCCTGGACTACAGAGGAAATTAGCAGGAAATTGTAGGAGATAAAACACAGCTCTAGGTTCTGGCATTGGTCCAGCTTTGTCCATTTTTTGGTGCAACATTTTAAAAGGTAGTGAAGGGAAAAGAGCAAAGAGTCCATATCCAGGGGCAACTGCTTTCTCCTTTCCCTGACAAACACAATGTGCCTGCACCCCACCTGTCCTCCTTACTTCCATACTGTGGGTTTCAAGGCAATTTGCTTGTCCTCAAAGAAAACTGCAAAGTGAAGGAGACAACACAACAGTGCAGAACATTCTCACAGAAAAGACCGCAAAGCTGTGTTTCCCAGCAAGTGTGACTGAAGTAAACTCAAGCACGTTTGGCTCTGAAGAGCAGACAGTTTTAATAATCTGCAGAATGACTGGGCACATCCTCAACAATGCAGAACACCCACGTGAGTGCAGGGCCACATCTAAGGTGATAGTTACTGTACAGATCGGGGGAATAGACACCACAGTCCCCCGGGGGTCACAGAAGGAGTAGCCTGGAGCAGAGCCAAGATTAGGACACAAAAATCCTGCCTCTCAGGCCAGCACTCAGACCACTTGGCCACGGCGTCTCCCCTGTGGCAGCTCATTTATCACCCACAAATAATTTCCCCATTACTTTCCTAAACAAGAGCGGTGCATCTCAGAGCAGAAGACAAGGCTCTGTCCATTTAAAGGAAAAGAATACTCGCAGTGTGGCAAGTGTTATATAATCGATGGAATGCAGACCAGCCATGGCAGGTCACCCATACACATTGGTTCCCACCATGCCGGGTGATGTAATTGTATATCCCCTTGGCTCAGGTTCAGATTGTTATTAACCTAGCCTGAATGCTGGAGAAGGTACCCAACCCTGACAGATAAGTGAACATCTTCCTAAGTGTGGCCCTATGATGACAGACCCTAGTCCCACCCATGCCAGCCAGTCTGTAAACAAATGCCCTTACAGGTGTTTTAGGCCACATCTGAATAAATTACTTCAGAGACACAGGTATAATGCAAGTATCAGGGCTTGCACAGGGTTCAAACACCTGCCATCTAGAACACAGTTCACAGTCCTGTACATTTAAATGCCTTGGGGGGGGGGGTTGCTTAGTATAAGCACAAACATCAGTTATTTAAACAGAGTGAGTACCTGTGAAACTCACAGTGCTCTTTATAGCAACAGAAACAGACATGAACATTTAGCATGTCTCATTTCGATTTAGAGCGAGGCATCTTCATGCACAGCTGTCTCCGTCATTCTGTGCTTTGTAAAAGATTTCAAAATAAGGCTAATAAAGGCTCTTTTTTAATAATAGACGACTCTTTTCTGTACATAATCAGACAGTAAACACTTCAGGCTCTGAAGGGACATGTGGTCTGTGTGACAGAGACTCCATCTGTCCTTGAGGCACAAGAGCAGTCTCAGATAATAAATGCATCGATGACTGAGTTCTAATAAAACTTTATTTAACAGACAAGGGTGCAATGTCTACCTGTGTGGGTGCAGGAAAAGGAGGAGGAAGAACAAAAAGATCAATGAGGAAAAGAGCCTGGGGGAGGGTTAAAGAAGACAAGTGGTGGGTGAGATAGAGGGGAGAAGAATTCACTAAAATACACTCTGTTTAACAAACATCATGTTATCTAATACCTGGTATGCTAATTTTTTCATTCATTCACTCATTCATTGGAAGGAAAGAAAGGGCCTGGGGAAGACAGCTCGGTCAGTTGGTAAAATACTTGCCTTGTAAGCATGAGGACCTGAGTTCGACACCCAGCACACAGGTAAGAATGCCAGGCATCATGTCCCGCCAATTGCAGGGATTGGGGGGAGGGGGGTGGAGACAGAAGGATCCCTGGGGCTCACTAGCCAGATAATCTAACTGGCAAGCTCCAGGCCAGAGGAAGATCCTGTATCAAAAGTGGACAGCAAGCCTGGCGGTGGTGGTGCATGCCTTTAATCCCAGCACTCAGGTGGCAGAGGCAGGCCGATCTCTGTGAGTTCGAGACCAGCCTGGTCTACAAGAGCAGGACAGCCTCCAAAGCCACAGAGAAACCCTGTCTCGAAACCCCCCTCCCCGCCAAAAAGAAAAAAAAAAAGTGGACAGCATTTCCATGCATGCATGAGCACTTAACATATTTGTGCACCCTCACATACATACATACATACATACATACATACATACATACATACATACATACATACATACATACATACATACATAAAGACAAGAGCCAGACTGAGCTCATGGCTTATGATCTGCCAGCCTCTCCTCTAGAAGGTGCCCTGTTTTCTCTTACTTTCCACTGATGTGTCTTTTCAACATGTTAAAGGAGTGCGGATGGGCCGAACCACATTAGAACTTGAGAGACTGAAGACTTAAACAAGTCACCACAGACTAACCAGTGCACAGAGAAGGTCGACAGCCTCCAACACCAGCTCCTGGTGTCCAATCCGTGTGACCCCCAGTTCCTCGAGATCCTGGTGGGAGATCTTCAGCAGCTGCTCACCATCTATCTTCTCCCGCTCAAACTTGTGGACGTATGGCTGCAGGCAGTCATCTAACCCTACAAAAATAAAGTGGGGAAAGCCTGTTATTGTCACGGTGTTGCAGTACCCCAGCATTGCCCACATCTCAATCTATCTTAACAATCATCAAATACACTATCACTGTGCTGTCAGGATTTGGTCATCTCGACATGTGTTCTGCTGGATGGGCACCTTTCCTGTGACATCTTCTCATCTCAAACAGGTGGGGGTAGGGCTATGAGAACTCTCAAATGGACCCAGCACAGCATGACTTTATGGCAGGTACTTCCTATGTCCTGCTGTAATTTCAAAAAGTGGCTGGAGAGAGATACTATGTGACAGAGTTCAAGAGGAGGGGTTTTTAATTAGGGGAAAAGGCTCGTAAAGGGGGAAATGGGGAGGGGGGACCAGCCTCGAGGGACAGGAGCAACAGGAAAGAAGAGAGAGACAGACAGACAGACAGACAGACAGACAGACACTAAGAAAAGGAAAGAAAGGAAGAGGGGGAAAGGAGGTGGACAGGGCCCTTTTAAAAAGGAACATATTGAATAGGCACGGGTGGTGCTTAGTAGCAACATCTGAGGGTGTATCTTGTCAGAACTCCAAAGGCAGGCCTGAATACTAACATGTCCTGAATACTGAAGGGATAAACACCAACCACTACTGATGTGAACTAGCCATATGCTGTTCACTAAGCAACCCTTCTCTAGCGACAGCATCCCTTCTCCGAGTAGGCTTGCCAATCAAGATTATTGCCGCTGTGGTTGAGACAAGGCCAATTCAGCAACAATACTCCAGTGATAGACTCAGGGACAACCAACTGACTTAAGTGGAGCCAATCATTATCTTCCTTGATATGTGATATGCAGATACAAGAAAACAAAGCCCAGTTATAAGTCACAGGACACAACCCTGGCACTTCTTTGGTCAGTTTTCTGGGAATAAATCCGTTTGAGAGAGCAAGAGAAAATGTTCTGATAGAGACCTTCATGATCTGTAATGTCCAGATTTTGGTGACCTGTAATGTCTGGATCCTGGTGACCTGTAATGTCTGGATCTTGGTGGCCTGTAATGTCCTGATCTTAGTAACCTGTAATGTCCTGATCTTGGTGACCTGTAATGTCTTCATCTGACTCCACTGGAGATGCTCTTATCCCAAGACTCTCCCACTAAAAAGGAAACAAATTCCCTATCTAGCCTCAGGTTGTTCGTGCCGAGTTTCTGAACTTTGTAACTGAAGATTTTGTGATGAATCCAGAAAGTTCTAATGAATATGGAATACAGAATAAGGACAAGGTACCAGGACCAATGAATTTTTCCAGGTCCAAATACCACTGCAAGTACTGACTCATCCTTCGGTTCTTTTAAAGCAGCTAAGTGAGTGGGACAAACAGCCTTGGGAATCTTTACTCCTATACACAGAACTCCCAGGTCAACTTCTGATCACAATTTTACGGAGGGCGGGGAATCTTACTCCAAAGTAATCAACCTGTCTGAGCTTACCAAGAAGTCATCTTAGTATTTATTTCAAAAGACTATCATTTATAGAAGATGAGAAAGGATAATACTTATACAATTCCATACAAAGCACAAGCGTTCACTTTAACTGATCAAAGTGTGTGGAAGGCATCCCTGAGCCCAACGCAGACACACGTGGATGGACAAAGGGAAAAGATGGCCATCAACAAGCCAAGGCTTAATCCCAGGCTTCCAGCCTTGGGAAATTGTGAAGAAGTGAATGTGCCATTTCAACCTCGCAGTCACTGATTCTGACATGAGAGCCAAGCAATGAAGTCAAAGCCAGCTGTCTAATTTCACACTCATCATACATATAATCGTTTTCCCTGAACAAAATAAAGGCAGCCCATGGGCCAGTGGGACTACCAGGAAAGATTATACTCAAAACTCAAGCACAGTGCTGACAGACAGGCTCACATTAGTTTGTATGATCAGAATAAGTTTGACCATCAAACCTGCAATGAAGGGCTGGGGGCATGGCTCAGGCACTGGAGTGTTTGACTAACACACACATAGGTCTGGGTTCAGTCTCTAGCACCTCATAAAACCAGAGAGGTGAAGGAAGCACACCTGTAAACCCCAGAACTCAACAAGTGGGAGCAAGAAGGTAGGTGTTCAATGCCAGCCTCAGCTGTGTAGTTAAGTTTGAAGCCAGATGGAATACACGAGAACCTCTCTAGTGAAGGTTTACGATGGAGAAACCATGGGTCATGGCTACTGGGTGGACAGCAACCCCTGAAAGGTAAGAAGTGAAAGTCAGACCGGATTCCTACTTGAATTTCCAAAAACCACAGAGGAAACGGGACTTCCAAAGCAGATCTGCAAACCTTGGGAAGTGTTTGGGACACAGAGAGGGTTGTGTTATAATGAATATTCTAGAGCACAGGTTGCAACAACCAGAAGTCTACAACTGAAGGGCACAGAACAGGGAGCATGGCCTTGAGGCTTCTAAAGGAATATGAGCAGTCTGAGATCAAGTTATCACAAGTGCTGAGAGGCAGGATTATCAAGTGCAGGCATCGTAAGGACAGAACTATCGTGGCTTGCACACTTTCCTGTAAGGCAGCATACTGAATAGCTGTGTCTTAAATAGCCCTGCCACAGAGCTGTATTATCCCAGCACGCCACGGCCTATTGTTCCTTTATCCTATTGTTCAGAATACAATTAGACATTCTCAAATAGCTAATTTAGACTATTACGTAGCCCCACAGAGGAGGGGGCTCAGACATGAGTGAACCAATCCACCAGCTTTGGAGCTTTCTGCAGGCCCTGCTTCTGCTTTCCCTCAAGCGTATCTACTGATCAATCTGTCTTTGAGGAGTTTATAAGAGACATATAATTAAGTAAAACCGAGTTAAACACATGCCATTTACCCCAATCCAATTAAACACACAATGAAATGTGAAGAAACGGGGGAGAGGGGAGGCCAGTGGTCTGACCCCAGCTCCACTCTTACTGACATGTCTCCAGAGAGGCAAATGACTCAGTACCTCATTTGTAAGGGACTAACACTCCCCACAGCATAACTATAAAGAAAACTAGACACCAATGTTTATAAAGAGCTTAACACATAAAAGGTACTTTGTAAATTTTATTAAATTGAAAAAAAAACCATGATTTATTTGAGTCTTCAACTTTCTAAGTGTGTGAATGAAGCTGCTGCCAAGACACTGACACAGTCAAATGCTTAGGTGGTCCCCTCTAGAATAAAGTTAAATGGAGGGGTATCTTAAAAGCTTATGTGATGACCATTTCCATAAGGTATCCCCAAATTTGGAAGCTTGTAGTTGGTATCGTATAAAAATACTTTGTGATTTATATCAGCCCATAGACACCACACACAGAGACTTCACTTGTTTGTAGCTTGCTCCAGAGGCACACAGAGCACTCAGTGTGGTCTGGAAGGGCAGTATTCTATTCATCTTGTGGCTGAATGGGTATCCCTTTTGGAAGACATCTCCCACTTATCCATGAATGCTGCTTCAATGAAAAAGAGGGTGTGGCCCCCCATTTGATTTAGAAGCTTTTCTTAAAGAAGTGTTTCCATGTATTAGTTTCACCCAAAGCTTATACACCTCCATCTTCTCACTCGGGGCTCTCAAGGGTCAAAGCCACTCCCTTCCGCTTCCTCCAGAAGTTACAACGATGTGCACACCAATCCTAGCATTTCAATCTTTCCTCTTCAAAGGCTTCTGTAGTCTCCCCTTCAAAAATGAGTGACTTCAAAACAAATAAATAAAAGACCGCATTTCTCAAGAATAACCAACCACTAGCTCCCAATTAGGCCCTGCCCCCAGCTTTCTGCTGGCTAAAGTCACACATTAAAGCGGATGGATGGATGGATGGATGGATGGATGGATGGATGGATGGATGGATGGATGGATAGATAGATAAATAAATAAATAAAGTCATTTCTAAGGACCCAACATCTGTCAAATGCCATGGATAATCTACAGTCTCTGTCATAAGAAAAACAACTCCTCTCTCCTGTCTGTCTCTGTCACCCATCTGTCCCCATGTTTGCATGTTCTCTCTCTGACCTTCTTGGCATCTATGACAATCCCTCTTCTGCCCCTTCTCTGCCTGGTACCCTGCTGTCTGTGTCCACACAGGCCTCCCTACCATTTATTAAACTTTACAACACTCAACCTCAGACTGTATAGCCTCTTCTTGGTGGTGGTGTGCAAAATAGAGGGCAGAGTGGGATGGGGTAGGGAGTGGGGCACAGGTCCTTATCAACCAGCAGGAACTTTAACTCTATCTCCTGTTCTGCAGGGAAGACGAGGTTTTCCATGTGGCAGATTAAGAAAACACAAGAATGCTACTTATGTTTCATGACCCAGAAACATCAGAAAGAGTTTTAGCTTCACTAATGTAACCCAACTCTGGCACGCTCACTGGGTGTGCAAAGTTCTTATTTGCTTGGGACCCAAAGAGCATCCCTACTCTGAGAAGAGAGAGGGTTGAACTCCCTGTCCTCCCTCCAGCCCATTATAATGCTTGTTACTCACTTATAACACAATTAGTTTTTGTCACACCGAGTCCTAAAGAGATTCTTACAGTTGTGGCTATATTTCAAAGTTAATATAAAGCAAGCTATTAAAAATATCAAAATTGGGCCAGCAAGGCTGTTCTCAGTGGATAAAGGCATTTGTCACCAAGCTTTATGACATGAGTTCAATCCCAAATAGTGACAGGGGAGAACTAATTATATAACAAGTTATCTTCTGATCTCCATAGCATGCACATACCTACACACATACAAACACATACACGTATACATGTTTCCAGCATTTGAATGCTTGCTACCCAGTTGGTGGTACTATCTGGAAAGGTTTTGGGAGTGTGGCCTTGTTGGAGGAAGTATGCCACTGGAGGTTGGCTTTGAGAGTGTAAAGACACATGCCATTTCTAGTTTACCCTCGCTACTCCCTGCTTTAGTTCCAGCTGCTCCAGCTGCCATGTCTGCTGTCTCCCTGCCATGGTGACTCTAACCCTTTGGAACCATAAGCCAAATAAACCCTCCCTTCTATAAGGTGCCTTGGCTGTAGTATTCTACCATGGCAATAGAAAGTAACCTATGGGGCTGGAGAGATGGCTCAGTAGTTAAGAGCACACACTGCTCTTCCTGAGGACCTGAGTTCGAGTTCCAGCATGCATACCTGCTCACAACTGCCTGTAACCCCAGTTACAGGGCTATCTGACACCTCAGACATCTGTGGGCATGTGCATTCATTTGTCGTGTGCATACACACACACACACACACACACACACACACACACACACACGCAATTAAAATAATAAAATAAACCTAGTAAAAGAAAAGTAACTAATATACATGCTTTCTGGTTTTAAAAATATTTTTAAAACGCTATCTTGTCTTCTAGAAATGTTTTATTTCTTAAATAACAGAAGTGCCCAGCAGTACAGCATTCATGTGTATTACTTATAGATTACCTCTATTTTTATTCTGTATGTATGAGCATTTTGCCCGCATGTATGTATATGCACATGTGTGCCTGGTGCCCACACAGTTAGAAGAGGGCATCAAGTTCCCTGGGACTACAGTGACAGATAGCTGTTAGTCACATGTGGATGTTGGTGACCGAACCTGGGTCCACTGGAAGCAGTAAGGACTCTTAGATGCTGACATCTCTACAGCCCCTAAATGTCTACTTCTTACTGTGGCCATGTGCACACAATCAAACAAGCATGACCCATGTGTGTAGAAAGGCTACTTCCTCTCTCACTCTGAAGCTTAAAACATAATACTCGAAGTATCTCTCCTCATCCAGGTTGCCTCTTCACCTTCCCTATTTGGGTTAATTACTTTGAAATTGACCAAGCACTCAGACTAAAATCTTGAAACCATCTTCCCTGCTATTCTCACTCTCTCTCTCTCTCAAGGGTCCATCTCTGCATTCTGTTGCCTATATCTGCTAGGCATCCCTCATCAGTCACATGGCTTGGGTATGTGTTCCCCAAAGCATAGCCTCTATGCTAAAAGTCTTGGTCCCTACCCTACACTGTTGAGAGGTGATGGAACCTTTCAAAGGTGTGACCCAGAGGGAGGAAGGTGAGCCACTCAGGACACGCCCATGAAGTGATTATTTGGTTCACTTTCGAGTTGACAAGAGGTATACAGCCTCCTCAGCTGCAACATGCTCCACCATGCTGTGCTGCCACACCAAGCGGGCTCAAAAACAACAGACCAACCAGCAAAGGAGCAAAACCTTCAGAACTGTGAGCCAAAATAACCATCTCCTCTTCTGAAGCTGGTTATCTCAGATATCTTGTTATAGGAACAGAAGCTAACACAGCCTTGCCCGCTCCTTTTCATCAGAACTGTCATAAGGCAAGAACCCCTTGCCTGGGTTTCTACAGGAATCTAGAAGCAAGTATTACAGTCAGTCCCTCTTTCCTCTTCACGGATCTCCTGGAAGTCCTTCTGAGCAAGCCCGTCCCATCCTTCATACAGCCAAGTCCCCCGGGTGAGCAAGGCACCCTGCAAATATCTCTGCAATCCCACCTTCCATCTGCTCTCCGGACAAGTGTTCTCTTAAGAATACACATTTCGATGGGTTTCCCCAAAAGTCCCAATGGCACCCCCACAGCTCAGCAAATAGACCCCAAGGCCAAGTCCAATGTGAGCCTGTCTCCTAAGTGATGTATCAGTGAACACCGCCATGCTCCCCTTTACATGTAGACTCTGGCTGCGTCTGCACAGCAGCAGCGCTGAGTGGGTGTGTGAAGGTCGGGCTGAGCCTGGGAGCCTGAGCTCCTGACTGCCTGGCCCTTTGTAGAGAAAGCCCACTTGGCTGCAGCTCCCAGCAGTGACACATTCACAGTGGTGACACACCAACCAGGCAGGAAAACAGACCCAGCAGGTCTATCTGAAATTAAGTGAACCTAATTACTTTCATTTCTTTTGATACAGCTGAGAAAATCGCTTTTCTATGATTGATTACAATGAATTTTAAAGATCTGAATATGTTCCAGAAGATTCCCTTTAACTTTTTGTTATTTGCCTAAAGTTATCTACTGAAGCATAATTTTTACACAGTAACATTTGCCAATATCCAATATGCAGTTTGGTGAGTCTTGACTGGTGTGTAAAGTCAGCCATGGATCCACATGGTCTTCATGTTCTAAGCATTTCTACCCCCCTAATGAAAGTGCCCTGTGCCCTTGGCTATCTCACAAAATTAACCTGAATGCCATCCAGGCTGAATGCCATATTGCCTAAGTGGCAGGGTGTGGCACCTCACCTGCAGATCCAAAAGCATACATTAAGCCAACATCCTCACAGGCTACCAGTTGCAGCTCTGGTCTGACCAGTCCCCCTGAGAGGTTGCTGACTGAAGCTACTCAAGAAAGGGCACCAGGACCAGACACCAGGTCTACACAATGGGTTGGAACATCTGAGAATTCATTCAAATCTAAGAATGAATGTTTCCGAGAGACAAGTGAACCATATAGATTACCTTTACTTCTACGGGAAGAGGAAAGAAATCACCCAAAACCTAAATTCCAAACATCCTCAGAGCTTATACAATAATTAGCAAATGAAGGAACTTAGCCTTCAGAAAAACACCTAAAAACTGGTTAGGGCTGCCAGGCTTTCTACTGAGTCATACCTGTATGAGCTGAAGGCTGTCGACCAGGCTGCCATGCCCTACCTGCTAAAGCAAAGACTACATTCGTCCACCCTTCCATCCCCAAGCAGAAGCTACCAGACAATGCTGGAGATCTAGCCCTGAAGCTCAGTGAAGACCCACCAGAGCTCTGGTTTTTGTTTTTTTTTTCCTTGAGGTGGGGTTGTTGTTGTTGTTGTTGCTGTTGTTCCTGATTTCTGAAGCAAAGGAACGGAGCAAGTCATTTCTTAGGAAAACCAAGTTGGGATTTGAAAAAAAGTAATCCTAACGATGAGATAAAAGTTTGGATTCAGATGACGAACTAAAACTGTTCAACTACTGAATGATACAGACGTGACCTAAAACTTAATTCTGACAGAAGTGGCAAGAAAAAAATAAAGTTTGGAGCCACAGTCATTTAGTAAAAGCTGGTTTGTATGCCAAGGAAGAGTTCCTAAAAACACAGCATGTAGCCCACCACTGGAACTTACAAGAGGTCAAGTGCAGGGAGAGCAAGTATGAAGATATTTTGTCCCCAAAGCAAAGTCTGTTTCACACTGGTAACCCACATCCTCCAAAGCTAACGTCACTCTGGAGACAGCAACGGAGGCAACCACCCTTTGGGATTCACTATGGAAGACAGTATGTACCTGAAGAAAATACGGCACTAACAAACACATCCATCCATGCAGGAGAATTTCAAGAATAAAAAACTTAGCTCAGGATTCCCATCACCCAGAACACAGATACTCAAGGACTGCCTGCACTGAGGTTTCTGACCTTTGGATAATGACCCTCCTGTACATTTACACAGAGAAACTGGCTGCATAGGTGCAGCCTCTCCCACCCAAGTAGATTCAACACAACCTGCCGCACTGTGGAAGGACCTGTCCTCCACCTCCCAGCACTCCAAGTCCCCAACATCATCCTCCTCTCTCCCAGCATCCTCTCTTCCAGCACCTTCCTCTCTCCCAGCATCCTCCTCTCTCCCAGCATCCTCTGTGTTGGTCATGGAGGAAAGAGAGCCCAAAGTGGGGACAGGAGAAAGGACAGAAGTAGACATCACCTGAAATCATCTGTGAGTTTAGCTAAGAAATGTATGCTTTTTTGACTGACTAAAGAGAACCAACATGCAAATCAGTCAACTAAAGTACCAGTGGTCTAAAGAGTGGATGAGAATTCAGATTCCATAAGCAACAAACTGCGCAGTATAAAATGCCATGAGCCCTCTTTCTTCTGCCCCTCATCACAACATGTGTAATGAACTCCAAAGATAACACAGAGCACATGGGGGTGGGAGTGGGGGTGGGGGTGGCACACAGCACTGACCAGTATGTCTGCTGGCATGAGCATGTACATGTATGTGGATGCCTCTGTAAATGTGTATTCATGGCTAACATCAAGCCAGGAAAAAGGTAAATGAATTTTAGATCTCAGAAGCAAAAACTCAGATTGTGGAAATGCGTAAAGTACAGAAGGATGCTCAGGTAAAGATGCTCAGGTAACTGGAGGTTAACTGCTGTCAGTCAGAACAAGCCACTGCATCCAACTCTGCTGTTCTTGGACCACAGTGGGGGACAGGAGCGGGGAAGGAGCAGCATGAAAGAGACAAAAAGAATGCTTCAAGCATCCAGTTGTGCTCCTTGTGCCTATAGCATAGCTTATTGTGCCCAGATTACAGATTATATTAGATCTAAAGAACAAGGTCACCAAGTTAGCTCAGTGGGTAATAGCACTTATCACACTTCCTGGTGACCCAAGTTCAATCCCTGGAATCCACATAAAGGTGGAAGGAGAGAACCAACTCCACAAAACTGTCCTCTGGCCTGCATATGATGAGCTATGGAGTGTGCACATACACACACACACACACACACACACACACACACACACACACACACACACGTTTAAAAACAATACTAACAAATTGAAGCCTCAACAGTGGCTACAGCTATAGTCACTGGTCATCTTAGACTGGATCAAAAGAAGTATTCACCAGTCCCCCACAAAACAAGCTCATAGCATCAGGGACAAGCAGCCCAACACACTGACATAGTGGCCCCAGCAGCAAGCCTGCAACCAGGGCCTCAGCCTCACTTCTTGCTTGCAGTCAGTCCTATCCAGTGGAAAGTTCCCACACATGCCAGATGTATTGCCTGCCACCAGAAATTCCGTGGAAAAACTGCCACCCGATAAGCCTCTTCCAACCCAATCATCATCATCAAATGGCATGGTCCAAATACCCAGGCTGAGGGCTCAACTAACCTGCTGGAAGGGCCTGCAGTGTTCCTAATGCACCTGTCCAAGGCTCTCCCATGGAGCCTTGCAGTGGCCCCAGGGGATGCTGGTCAGGTTACTATTACACCAGCTCACTGACAGTGAAGTCAGAGGCACAGCTAAGGCAGGACACTGACCTCCTCTAAGCACCAGATCCTTGCCTGTGGTACTCAAAGAAGAAATGAATCTGGGGTGAGGGCTTAGTCAGTGCAGAAATGCAGAGACCTTCTGTGCAGAGTACTTACTCATTGTGGTCCATGCTGAGCCCTGCAGATGTGGGGTAAATGGCTTAAGCTATGTCACCTGTCAAGTAACTGCAGACAGAAGTGTCGTATCTGTCTTATCAGGTTGGGGAGAGGCAGCGGGCTCTACGGGCTCTGTTTCCCAGCTCTGTGACTTTCTGCAACTTACTTAACCTCTCTGAGTCTTCTCTCACATGAAAACAAGAACGTTTTACAGTCTGTTCTTATGGGGTTAACTGGATGATTAAAGGTATAAAGAGGCTATTATTCTCAGAGCACTTAGAAATAAGGCCAGTTGCATAGTAATGCATAATTTAAAAGTTTGGGAATTAAAAACAGATGAGAAGAGAAAGGAAGGGGAGGGAGGGAGGAAGGGAAGACAAGAGTTTGGAGGAGGGGAGGGGAGGGAAAGAGAGAAGCCAGGGTTCAGGGACTTGGTAAGTAACTAACCTTAAGTCACACAACCACTGAAAGGTCATGTCTAGCCATTACCTAGAAGTGCTGAACTGTTTGGAGCTGGTGTGCCCTCAGGGACATCTGAGGATCTGGTGGCAACAAAGTGACACCCTCTGCAGCTGCTGCTTGAGCTATGAGGTGACAGGAGTTGGGGATGAGGGTGCTCAGGTGCACAGAGGGTAGAGGAAGCCTGAAACAGCTGTGGCACCAGAGACAGCTGCCACAGACAGTGGAGCGACTCAGCAGGCCATGCTGACCTCTGGGGCTAGTTTTTAATAGCGATTTGACTGATATAATTCACATGCCGTTCAACTCATCATGCAAAGGGCACAAATCGTAGTTATGCCACAAGTTTAGACTCTTAACAACCTCCTCCTACTAAGAAAACCCTGAACGTCCCACTGACACTCCCCCGAACCTCCATGCTACCTCTGGATGTCCACTTTCCACCTCTCAATTTGCCTGGATCTTTCACACATATATGGTTTCTACACACTCTATATACAAGACCACAGAATAGGCACCTGGAGAGATTGTGCTTGCAGAGGACCGGTTTGGTTCCCAGCACTCAAGACAGGAGACACAACCACCTAACTCCAGACCCAGGGGATCTGACGCTCTCTTCTGGCCCCACAGGCACTGCAACGGTGTGCACACACATAGAAAGAAAAAAAAAACAGAAATAAAATAAATTTTTAAAAAGACCGTGGAATACATGGAGTTCATTACTGACTGCTGAACACAGCTTGAATGTCACTCCCTTGCTCCCAGCCCTGCTGACTTGCCCCTGCCCTAGGGATGAAATCTACAGCTAACAAAACCTACGGTGACCCATCTGTTGCTGCCTGCCTCCCTGACATCACCTCCTGCCCCCTTGCGCCCTAGCCACTATGTCAACCACACAGCACCTGATTCTCTCAACCAGCTTGACTCTCCACCTACAGTGTCCATCCTCCGGCTTCAATTCTGACTTCAGCATGGAGAGGTCAGCTGGTCACGGTAAGGCTGTGATGCACCCGCCAGCCCACACTAGCCTCCCTCCCTGAGACACACAGCCAGATCCACTCGGGCTCCCTTGTTCACCATTATATCTTCTTGTCTACTGCCGGGCACTAAGGAGCACACTTTCACAAGGGTTCAATGAATGACAAAGACAAGGAAAAACCTAGAACCTAGATGAGGTTGAAGAGCTGGTTGGAGAGGTAGCGGTGGGAGCGGCTGTAGGCCCCACCCGTCAGGATCCTTCCAGATCCACTTGTCTAACTTGCTCCCTCTCCCCTCACTTTCCCCTATTTGCCAGCTATGCACTGTGCCTCCCGCTGCTTGCCAGCACAAAATGCCCACCTGCTTGCTGTAACTGTGGCTTGGAGAATGCCAGCTCTCATGACCAGGGAGCGTGAGAAGCGGGTGGGGGTGGGTACATGGAGGCCAGTGGTCCATGCAAGCTATTGTCTTTGATCGTCCCCTACTTTGTCTTTTAAGATGAGGGGGGTCTCTTGACTGAACCTGGCACTCACCAAATTGGCTAGACTTGCTGGCCACTGTGTTGACAGATGCCCGCTGCCCTCTGCTACTTCAGCGATGACAATCGCACTTGGTCTCTTCTCCCACTGTCGCCCCGGCAGGTAAAGGACCCAGCCTGTGGCTCTGACTAGCTAAGGGACCCAGGGTGATCACATGGTCACTTCACCAACCCGATCTTCTCCACCAGTCTGTACTTCTTTCTGACTTTGTGCTGCTCAATGCTGCCTGCCTTCTTCCTACCTTTATCCTGAACAGACAGTTCCAGCTGTCTGCTATCAGAGCCCAACACTAGGTATCTAGTTACTGTTACTGTGATAAAACACTGTGACCAAAGCAACTTATCAAAGAAGGGGTTTATTTGGGTTTACGATTCAAGTCCACTTCAGGGAGGCCCACCAACAGGCAGGTATGGAGACTGGACCTGAAGCTGAGAGCTGAGGGCTGGCATCTCGAACCCACAAATGGGAAGCAGAGAGAGGTCACTGGAAACAGCACATGGCTTTCCAAACCTCAAAATCCACCCGCAACTGCATACTTCCTCCAGCAAGGACACATTTCCTAACCTTACTCAGTGTCACCAATTAGGAGCCAAGTACTCAGACGTGCCAAGAATATGGGTGACATCTCATTCAAACCACCACACTAGGGCAAGAAAGTGACACCATCTGTATACAGTCTACCACACTAGAGCAAAGAAGAGGCGCCTTTTGTAAACAGTTAACCTGTGAGGACCACTATAAGCTCAGAGAGAGCAAGCACTCACAGTGTTACGCACTCCTGGGTTCTGTGTACCGTGTGTACAAAAAGCATTTGACTAGACAGCCAGGCTTCGAAGACGCAGAGCCATCAGTCAGCTCCCAGCCGTGGCCTCAGACTGAGACT